TTGCCGAGGCTGCGGTGGTCAGTAAATAAATAATAAAAATATCATCGTACAATAATATTATTTAGGTTATGATTATTGTTGCCTACTCATATATGTACTCTGCGAATGACTAGGCACCTTTAAGCGTCATTTGCTTCAATCGTTTGATGTGAAGAAGTATAATAGTTGTCAGTCCCGACGTAAGGCATCACATTATATTGGCAAGGTTGATAGACGCCCTAGGCGATAATGTACGAGAATAAATTATGTACACAAATAATACATACAATGTGCCGAGTCGCAGTTTACAGTCGGGAATCCATTAAGAGGAATGAATATTCGACGGCTAGCGACAATATAAAATATATCAATAAATTGTTTGACCCGATTAATAAAAATTATAATAAATTGTGTTACTGTAATGTATGGTCGACGATAATATTATAATATTATAATATCTGCAGCAACTCCTAATATACCTACCTATCATTAATCATGCGATAGTAACTGATAATATTTTAAACGGAAAATTTGAGAACATTTTTTTTTTTTAGTTGTAGTTGACCTTGACAGCCGCCGAGTAACAAACCTGAGCAGCTAAACACGCATGCACCCATTAATTCTGTCATTCAAATTGTGTATAGACAATCGCTTTTGAATCGTGATAAATTCTAAATTGTTTTTAACGCTGAGTAGTCGAGAATATGTTTCCGTCGCCTTTTTTTTACAATACACTTATATAGTTCATTCGTTTGGATTCAGTTTCTACTTTCTACTATCTATACATATATATTCATATTAAAGAAAAAATATGATTAACAATGGGACGCGTTATAAATAAATACTTACAATGAATCACTAGGAAATATTATACAAGTATTATTGCAATAATATCATAGTGTAATCCAATCGATAAGTAAGCACAATTTTTTCTGTAACTCAAATTTTCGATAGCTCGCATTGTAATTTCGCCCCCAACCGATTCGAGTTATTGAGGTTTCACTGTACTTTATCTTTGAATAAATTTAAACATTAAACAAAATATTGAACTGCGAATAATATTATTATCATAATGTGTTTGAAATGTTTTCCTGCATATGACAGAGTTGAACTTACATTGTTTATGTCATACGCCTTTGCAATATGGACCAAAGTGACGGCTGATGGCGTTTTCAATTAATGATTTTTTGTTGAAAGAAAAAAAATCTATTAAAACACGTTGTATAATAATATTGTACAACGAGTGCTCGTGTTATTGTGTTATTTTAAATATTATATTTTCGGCACAACTCTGTACCTCTATTGCCTATACATTACGCCGTCTGACACATTATTTTATTTTATGAAATAATGGGCGTGGTCAAATACTTGAATTTTCTAATCACTAATAAATAATCATTATTATATTCACTCTTCTCTGCGTTTTTACTCAATTTATCATGATTTAATATCAAATATATATATATTCAGAATAATTTAGATAGATTTAATAATTAAATACAGTGAGCAAAATAAAGCATCATCCTTCTATTTTACCCCTTGTTTATTAATTCAATATCATTTAACTTCCCTTTTGAAATAGGTGCTAATTCACGAAATATCTCATCAACCTGAACAAAATTTTCCTTAATTAATCAGTCAGAAATATTATAAGTCTTAAAAAATCGACTAAGGTATAAAACCGAGTAGATAAATGATTTTTTTATTTAGATATAATTGTTTTTATTTTAAGCCGACTATCAGTTTGAGTGATTTAACCTTTATTATTATATTAATAAAAAGAATATTTACTATCTGATATGCACATAATTACCATAAGTAATGAGTATAAAAAAATATACATATTATTACTGTAAAATATTTGAAGTTGTTTTATTTTTTAGGATCTTAATTCTCTAAAAAAAACTCTTAAAATTAAAATTAATTTTAAATCAATGATTATAATGATGACAAAAAAACTAAACCTGCAGGCATCGAAGGAAAGTTATGCATATTATTATCATGCATGGTATATACGAACGCTGCAGGTTGGATCACATTCGTTTACCTACTGACCGTCTGTACCGACTGAACATTCGATTATTATGAGCTCAATACGACCCCATGATAGCATACTATAATAGCTATAATAAATTACGTAGAAAAGCACGTCCAGCTATCACGATTTATCATAATATTTATATAACTGTAGTTGGGATAAACTCATTTAAACCTACCTCCTATTTAAATTTCCTTTTACCTGGCAATATTACAAAGCAATAAAACGTCGGCTATGTAAATAATATATACACACTAGTACTCCAGTGTTAGACATTTTTTTAATATATTTTGCAGGCACTTATCACCGAGTAGCTCTGCAAACTATGCAAAACTATTACTATCACTGAGTATCGCCACCACGTGGTACCCAGAAACATTATGATAACTAATTCGAGTTATTACTGCAATAAATTATTGCAACAATAGTATTATGGTACATAAGTACGTCTTCGTCTGTAAACTTGTCTCCCATCGTAACCAATTGCTTATGTAGCTGGTCCACATGACTTTCGTCGTTTTCGTCAAAATACCTAATAACGTTTTCGATCACATTTTTAGAGCGGAGTCTTTCGCTAAACAAAGTCAGGAACATTGGAAAATCAATTGGAACGAAAGCTTCATTTACAATGCCCTCCAAACGATCGACGTTGGGGTCTTGGCCTGGATAGAACATAATATAAATATATATAATATATTAATATCATATAATTGTATCACACCATTTACAAAAATAGTATAACTATATATAATATTAATATGTCTTGGGATGTCGACACGGTTGTAGTGCGGGAGACCTTGAGATTGACCAGCGTGTCGTGTAAATCTGTTTTATCGAGGAATCCGTTTTTGTTTTGGTCCATAAAATTGAAAGCTCACCGGAAATCTTTTATCTGTGCTGAGTCAAACATAACAATGACCTTTGTGACCGAACTTTTCACCCACATTGTTTGCGACATGTTATTACTGCAGACTTAAAACAATGATAAAGATAATAGGTGGCATCGTAATATGGCGGGAATCACAACTAAAGCACTTTACGTATCTAAGTATGTATAATAATAATATTCTAGCATTTAAATTTTTTTGAAGATGAAAAAGTCTTGAGTTTTGTAAAACTATATAAGCTACAACTATGCAAGACAAACAAATCGAATGGAATGGGACACTGTTAGATGCACAATTAATTTATTGCAGTATATTATAATATTATATACTTTTATACATCTTAAATCAAAGTAAAAAAAATCCACTATTTACGTTCTAATGTTTTTTTTATTATAATCGTCCTATTTGTTTAAAATGTATCTGTTACAAGGAAATTATTATGTAACGCATGCTAATACATAATACAAGAAGTAGTAATAATAATAAATAATAATAATAATATCAACGTATAATATAATATTATTAATATCTTAATTGTCGTACATCCGTTATGGCATTGAACCGGTTTTATTATTATAACTACAAAATATAGTACTGATGTATTTTTACATTTAATAATATAATACGTCAAAAAATTGTAAATCGGTGTAACGATTAAAAGTGTTATTAACACAACGTTAATATAGGTAACGTCGATGGTGATAATAAAAAATGCATTATATTACTATGTTTGCGAAATGCGTTAGATATACCTAATAATATTGTGCTCTATCCAATGTTTTTTTTTTTAAAAGTATTATTATGAATACCTACCTCACCCAACTGACCTACCTTATGCAACAGAGTTATTAACATAGCTAAGTTTAGAACAACATCGCCTGCTAGGTTCAATAACGAGTACTAATGTCGACACGCTGCATTAAATTATACGAATTATTTATGCGTCTAAACCACTTAATGTTATACAATATTATATTATACATACTTATAAATAATGTTAAATTAAACACGCGGTAAACTCCGAATGTTGAACGTCTGTCGTAAACTCGACCTAATAATTATTTTTGTTATTTGAGTTTATAAGAGCCGCCACAAAATATAATTAACCACAAATACGATATGATAAACGTGTTTTACACTTTTTTTTCTACGTACAATCGATTTGAATACGAATAATAAACGTATTCATGTAACAATAGATTTTTGCACTTTGACACACCGCCAGACGGGTCTGATATAGAAGTAAAAGCCTGTAAGTTGTAACTAATAAACTATAATAACAATAAATTTTCATCACCTACTTCGCACCCAAAAACATTTATGTGTGACACTGCTGATTAGTGATAATAAATTGAAAGCTTTGATTACCGAAGGCTAGTGTACTACCATTGATTATAAGTACAACTAGTATTTATAATCAATGGTACCTACTACTGAAGATTTTCAATAAATAACAGTTAATCATTAAATTTGTATAACTTTCTCAAGATTAAGGCTACAGACATTTAACAACATTTATATGCGAGTGTGTACCTCAGTGATATAGTATAGGTATTAGTATTATACCACGGTATAAAATGCTGTGGACATCGTCAGTCCTAGAAGACAATTTATCACAAACGATACTACGCGTGGTAGAGGACTCATAATATAGTCATATTTATTTTATAATGTTATTCAACTGCATATTATTTATACCATATTTTTAAAATAAGTATATTTATATCTTATTTTCTTAAAAATGTAGGACATTTTTTATGTTGGTGTTGTAACTTTATATTACTAAAGAGCATCATGAGCTGGGTATAATCTATTTGTTTTATTAAAAAAATTAAATTATTTAACATTTTAACCTTATATTAATAAATATTAAATATTACAATAAAAAATTTAAATACACATTTTTAAATGTAACCTTTTCAAGTATTATACTTATTACTTAAATATATAAACTTATCGTATTATTTTTAATAATAAGATTGTTCGTAATGGTCACAGTTACAATAATTGTTACAATTTATAAGCATTAATCGTTAGAATATACAAATGTAAAAAAATATAATAAATGCGAAACTTGATTATATGCGAACAAATTATTAGGAAGAGATTCTCGGCGTGTTTTTGTTTTCTTCATTTTTTACCGCCCGTTGTTTGCTACCCTCTAAACTGTGATGAATGCCATAGAAAGCGTATATGAATACTCCTAAGGGAAAAATAAGAATGTTTTCAATATAAACAATACAAGTCATAATAATATAGTTTAAAACTAAGCTTTAGCTGTTTGTTGTGTTTGGTTTAAGATCAAATATTATGATGATTATATCATGTGTGTGAGCTGGCCACTTATTTATTTTACACGTGATGATTATTATGACATCTGTCTTTCCCAAAAATATACTGATGAAATAAAAATACGGAAACGCGAGATTTTTGTCTAGAATTATTATAATTTGGTAGGTATAACAGCGAATAATAACATAGTAACCACAGCTACGAGTCTACGACTATAATATTATAGTTTGAAAGGTTTAAAAAATCTCCTTTATATAATACGTATTTATAAATGTACATTGAAATTTAACATTCTCTACTTTATGACCGGCTCACTGATAATTGACGCCCTATGTACGAAAAGTAATAATAGATTATTCGAGTAGCACAATAGGAAATGTCCATCGTTCAATCACGTGATTGATAAAACAACACAAAAGGACCGCATAATATAAAATCGTTTGTCGGTTAATACAAATACCTAATATAAGTCCCACGCCGAATCTTATCCAAGTCTTGATGCTCAGCTCCATCATTAGGTATAAGTTAAGAGTTATACTCACGCACGGTATAAAAGGAACAAGTGGCACCTAAAAAATAAAATGATATATGGACTTTTAATACTCGTTAATCATCGTGTAAAATATACAATATTTAAAATTGAACTAAAATATTATGGGTACAGAGCATTATAGTGTCGATAATATTATGTTACGGGTATAATAATATTAATTATTATTGTATGAAACTAGCGTATATAATTTATTATTGAAGTTACCAGTAGATAAATGTGATAACTCACAATTTTGTAATTATTCAGGAAGACAGTTTTAGTGGTTCATAATATAGTATAAACGTTTGAAACTTATTAACTGTTCAAATGCTAAGAAATCTTTGAAAACAAAAATTATGTATTTTAGGGTCATACTAAACACTGTGAAATGTTATACTCCCACTTCTACTCAGGAAAGATCTATACGACTATACCTAAATTAATAACTTAACACCTTCATCTACCGAACAAATTAATATAAAAAAATAAAATATGTAACAAAGGTGTTACAAAAACATGGATTTTTATTAAAATATATGAAATATTAAAAATGCTTTTTATTTACAATAAAATATTATTGATATTATTGCAGTAGTTCATGTAAACACTAATCCGGATACTGACCAGTATTATATTATTGTTAGAAATTAATACTATATTTTCTTACCTTAAACGCTAAGTTTTCGATTGCTTGTGGAAGTCTGTGTAACATTAGCATGGAAAGTAATGATACTGTGATCGATACCGCTATTACAATGATTAAGGGGAAATAAAACGCTCCATCGTAACAGTCAATATTCACCATACTAATGCAAAATACACACGCACTGAAAGCTATAACATATTAAATCAGTAATTTTTAGTCATAATCTTTTTAAACATCAACAATAGATATTTAAATTAAAAATGGTTTTCTCAAATAAGATAGAAAAAAAAAACTAAATAAATATAAACTATAAACGAATACAGATAAATTACTATTAAAATGTATTGAAAACATACTGTATATAAGTATCAACACTCTGGAAATGTATTGAGTATCCAAGTTCGTGACTTTTGTGTTAAACAGACTGTACCATTTGAACATTTTATAATCATCGGAATTACTGTCTATATCTTGAATTGCTGTGTTAGTGTCTCTGTACCTGTATTACAGAAACATTTAGCTTAAGTAAAAAGTTTAAATATCATTATCCATCACATATTTCTAAGAAATACGAAGTCATATTAAATTACGAGCAATATAATATATTATTAATCCAAGGGCGACTTCCCACCAAAGTATGGAAATTGATAATAATTAAACTATTTTCGGTAAAATATGTTATGTTAGTTGAATAAAATATATGCCTATTTTTAAAGCATAATATATTTTAAATAATACAAATTTTATCATTAGTGTTATCACACGTGAAATAAACCAGAGACAAGTTGACGAAAACAAATTAAATATTATTATATGTCAATTTTAAAATAAAAGTAATAATTCTGGGGGATTTTTTTTTTTGAAAATCACTAGTGAAATTTTTTCCTGATTTCAATGTGTACCCAAGTACAAAAAGGTGGGCAAGTGGGTGTCGCTCTGCTGTACAGTAGGTTACAAGTGGGTCACTGTATAATGGATGGTATTAAATTTGAATTCAATGATATAATATCATTGTATAAGAAAAATGATTCTGAGCGGTGATGGTATGTCAGTCTATGCATAAGGCATATTATATACATATCTATGGTATTAAACAAAAAATTGACCTATAATAGGTACCTATAATAAATTCCAAATTAATCATATCACAATATCCATTAGATACTTATAACGCGTTATACATCAACAAAAACCGTGATACTATCATAGATATATAATAGTACACTTTAGAAGTTTCAAGTACCCACGAATAGTATTATTCAATCACAACAAAATAACTAAAATCGTAATTCTTGGTTTAAATTTGAAATTAAAATGTCTGTAAAAAATAAGTGTGTTTATATATTTTTTAGATTTTTTGATTACAGTATGAATTATTTAAGAGAATCTTTGTTTTAAATTTTCAACTCTTAGTTATAAAAACTGAACATTTTATAATTTTTTAATTCCAACGATTGATAATTTTCGAGATTTGATAAATTTTGTCAAAATTCCAACTTTAAATGCTTATAAAAAAAAATCGGGCCTATGTATTTTTAAAATTGTTCAACTGATATTGTAACAATATATAAGAAAGCTTGTATTCAATTTTCAGACTTTTTGGCCCACCAAATAAAATTTTATTGACAATTATAAAAAAAAAAACTAAAAAAATTGAAAACTGAAAATGTCCGTAAACAGCTCAAAAAGAGTCAAAATCTTTTCAAAATTGTATGGTGTATAGGAAATGCTAATATAAACATTCAGTGAAATTTTCATGTATCTACAGTTATTCGTTTTTGAATTACAACAAAATAAGGAAATCGCTACATGAGGAATCGAGTGAAAATCCAATGTTGTAAAAATTTGAATTTCAAACGCTCATAAAAATTTAATTTGACTGTCCGGTAGAGATTTTTTTATTGATAAAGGTAGACAAACTTATGAGTAATCTTGTATTACATTTTCAAATCTTAGATTTAAAATGAAAAATTTTTACGAATTCTTAACTCAAAATAATTTGCTAATTTTCATGATTTTTCCATATTTTGTCAATTTTTGAACTTTAAATGCTTATAAAAAAAAATTGTGACTAAGGATTTTTAATATTTTTCATCTGCCTTTGAAAAAACATATTAGGAGCCTTCTATTAAATTTTCAAGCTTTCGCAACCAACAAATAAAATTTTATTGATATTTCTAGAAAAAAAACTAAAAAAAAATGAAAAATGAAAATGTCCCTAAACAGTTCAAAATAAATCAAAATATTTTGAAAATGTTATCGTGTATAGAAAATGCAAATATAAACAACCAGTGAAAATTTCATGTATCTACGGTCATTTGTTTTAAAGTTACACCAAAAACCAAATTCGATTTTTTGAAAAATCGATTTTGCGTAAAAATTCCCGTTTTTCCTTAATTTTTATGTTGTTTTTCCCGGCGCTTGTGAAAACTACTGGAAAATGTTTACTTTTGACCCCCCAAAGTACCAACTAGATTCACTTTCCTATCAGAAAAGGTACTATTGAAGAAAATCGAAGCACTTTTACTGTCCTAAAACGTGATGACAGACACAAAAATATAAAAATATAAAAATATAAAAATATAAATAAAAAGGTGGGCAAGTGGGTGTCGCTCTGCTGTACAGTAGGTTACAAGTGGGTCACTGTATAATGGATGGTATTAAATTTGAATTCAATGATATAATATCATTGTATAAGAAAAACGATTCTGAGCGGAGACGGTATGTCAGTCTATGTATAAGACATATTATATACATATCTATGGTATTAAACAAAAAATTGACCTATAATAGGTACCTATAATAAATTCCAAATTAATCATATCACAATATCCATTAGATACTTATAACGCGTTATACAACAACAAAAACCGTGATACTATCATAGATATATAATAGTACACTTTAGAAGTTTCAAGTACCCACGAATAATATTATTCAATCACCCTAAAAAGGGAAAATGTCCCTAAACAGTTCAAAATAAATCAAAATATTTTGAAAATGTTATCGTGTATAGAAAATGCAAATATAAACAACCAGTGAAAATTTCATGTATCTAAGATCATTTGTTTTAAAGTTACACCAAAAACCAAATTCGATTTTTTGGAAAATCGATTTTGCGTAAAAATTCCCGTTTTTCCTTAATTTTTATGTTGTTTTTCCCGGCGCTTGTGAAAACTACTGGAAAATGTTTACTTTTGACCCCCCAAAGTACCAACTAGATTCACTTTCCTATCAGAAAAGGTACTATTGAAGAAAATCGAAGCATTTTTACTGTCCCAAAACGTGATGACAGACACAAAAATATAAATAAAAATATAAATAAAAATATAAAAACATACATCATTGTAAAACCAATACATTCATCGCTCCGCTCAGAATCTAAAATTATTCTATAATGTGGTTTGCCACAGCGCGTTGGCTGCTTCCCAGTCGCGTAATGCGACGGAGAGTAAGTAACGCCCGCAGCTACAAGCTCCCGGATGGGTGACCACCCGGGGTTTGTAGTAATTAAAACCTTGCCACGCACGCACACATATATTGCTTACCTACCGTACCAACCTTACCAACCACAGTTCATTACTCCTACAACAGCTAATGGCATAATATTCGGCGGTCTTAAATTCAATTTTAAATAAAAAATTCTATCTAAAAACAAATGTATTTTGTGTGATGAATGATATTGCGCTTATATTAGTCGAAAAATGTAATAAATAAAAATATATTAATGTGGACGCGTATTATATCAAAAATATTGTTTCCTATTAGTTTTTCAAAACTACAGGTGTCACCGCAATCACTTTCCGATCGTCAGCGACACGTTTATATTATTATCATCGTACACACACACACACCTGAGCACCAGTAGGCAGATACAAACTATCAAATACGATATGAGGGTGCCGATAGACGTCATGTCGACGAGCTGTTCGAGATTGAATATGGACGACAATATGCCTGGAATAAAAAATAAACAAAAATAATATATCTACTCAATTTGCCTACAATCATTTTTCAATAATTTACCTGCACCGACTCCGCATATCATTGTGGCTATGACTGGCGTCTTGGTCCTTTCGTTGACCATCGACAAGAATTCGAACAATAGACCATCGCAGGACATGGCGTACAGGATTCGCGGTATCGGAAATAGACATCCTAATAAACTACCCAAACGAGCGGAAATGATTATTACAACAATTACGTATGTATTATCGATTAAAAGGAGACATTACGAGGTGAATAGAGCGAATACCGCGCCGCAGGTAACCATGTACTTGATCACGGGTAAACCCAGGTTCTCGTAGATCACTGGAAACGGCGCGTTCGGATCCTATAATAGGATGACATATTATTTTTTTTAATACTTTTAGCGTAACCTATATTGTATAGACGAATACAATAAATATAATAATATGCAAATATATTCGAATTTCCAGTTTCAACCGTAGGTACCTGATCGTAATATGGCCACATCAGGGTCAACACTGACGCCACGATAGAGTACGCAGACGTGACGAACACCAACGTCAGGACGATCGCCAGCGGAATTGTTTTCTTTGGATTTTTTGTTTCTTCACCTGAATAATAGTAACATGATGAGATGAGATTAAAAGGAATAGTTAAAAATAATATTTATGTTTATAGTATAAAACAAAACTGACCGGTTGTAGAAATAGATTCGAATCCGATGAACCCGTAAAAGCATCGAGCCGCTCCAGCGATAATTCCACTCCAACCGAATGGCGCGAATCCACCATTGCCGCCGTCCACTCCGGGCGGGATTTCGCTTTTCGATATATTCCAATTCGAAATTTTAACTGAAATCGGTCAATAATTTGACATTTTTTCGTTATAACACTCGTCGGTCGTCATATCATAATATTATTATTATCTGATACTTAAATAAAATACGTATAGGATCCTATACGTTTGCGTATAAATCGTTAAAACAAGAAAAGTATCGATTTGTATTTTACTCGTAATTTAATTCTATCAATATTATAATATTATTATAATCTATAGAATTGTATGTGCTCCACTATATACATACCAAAAAAAAGTCCACTCACGATGACTGTACCGACCGTCATTAAGTTAAATGCAGTAAACACTGTATTGAGAGTTGAAGACTTCCGAACACCCCAAGCCATAACCACTGAAAATCGATAGCATTATTTTATTTCTTATTATATATATTATTAATTTTGTTTTACCGGTGAAATCATAATTCACTGATATAGCATTTCGTTATAACATAATATATAATTATGCATATTCTAATATACATAACTGTTTTGCGTCACCTGCAGCTTTATTTAATAATAAATAACTTCAAACTTCTAATCTTAATGTTTAAATTAATCTCAAAAAAAAATAATAATAAACCACTACGTAAGTCAGGTAGGTATTAAATATATTGGTTATTTACATCTAGATTACTCAAATATTATACTAAATGTTAGGCCATAAAATTAAGTTCTTATTAAATTAGTAAGCTGTAGATGACGTAATTCTCATTTCTTGTGTATATTCAAATATTTTTAAATATATTATATAGGTACTATTGATTAATAATTACAGCGGTAAATAATCAATGTATATACTATAAAAGTGTTGATAATTACACGCAATGAACATGAGGAATAAAAACGACGCGACGTCCGGATATTCGCCCATAAACTGCATGTGCATTGGAAAATGTGCTTTCATGTACCTCTTTTGGGGATCGCCGAGCAAAGAGTCTAAATAATTTGTCATGGCTTTGGCAGCGGATGCTGTGCCTAAATATAATAATAAAACCACTTCAGTATCAAATTAAAGTCATCTTATACAGATACTTGATGAAATCATTTTAATTTTAATTTTAGTAAAGACAAAATATTGTGTCGTCAAAACCCACCTATCGTGTGCTCGATAAACATGTTCCAACCAATAATAAAAGCGATGAATTCTCCGACGGCCACATAACTGTAAATATACGCAGATCCAGCTTTGGGTACTCGGCCGGCGAATTCAGCGTAACAAACTCCTGAAATGCAAATAATACGAAATCAATCGTTGTCTGTTTTTCTGCAGACGGTAAAGCGGTATTAACATTATTATTTCGATCTATTATATACTCTGTTCCATCTAAGAGTGAACCACTCGGCTGACCAAAACACGTTTTTTCCTCGCATTCCAACCACAATCCGGAAATCGGTGAGACTTTTAACACGGGCGCCCGACGGCTGACGACAGCTGCCGGCGATGACTGTCCGCAAATCACAGAACTCATAGCCATCGCATGGGTGGTAAAAGGCACTGTTCGGCGGCTCAGTCTTCGTGCGCGAAAGAGGTTCACTCTTAGCTTGAATAGAGTATAATATAATATATAGTATATACTATATATATGTTAACTTCGGAAACTGTGAAAAACACTATATAGGTACCTACCCAGACAATCGTAAAGTTAACATAACGTCTAGACGTATGCATCATATGGCGTATCGACTGCCGTAGAACCGTTAAGGTGATTTCACGCTACCGCTTTTTTGGGTAATAAGTCTATTTTGCGCCAACAATTGGTAGCGTGTAAACCTATTTTCGCTATAATAAAATGTACGCTTAGCGTGTACTGTTTCTTTAGTCATTGTATTGCGATAACACTTTAACTAGTTTTAATTAATTAAATCATTATATTTATAATATAAACACTGATAACGAGACGAAATTAGATCATATTGATTTAGTACCAGCAAACGAAGAGACGATCGCCGCTACGATGAAAGACAATACCACCGCTGGTCCAGCGATAGATTTGGCCACTGTTCCGGCCAACACATAAACGCCACTCCCTAAAGTGGCGCCAATGCCCAAAGCGGTCAAGTCGAAAATGGTCAACACCCGTTTCAACTTGTCTTTTTCTTGTTTAGTTTCTGTCGCGAACGTTTTTTTCCTGCTCAGCGATTGATAAAGCTTTTTGCCCTGTAACCATAAAGAGAGAGCCTGATGAGCCAATAATATTATTATAAATAATTTAGGGATAATGCAAACAATAAATTCAGAACTAGCCTTAGGTATGGGCCATCGAGGTCCTGCCCCAGGCCTCGCGTAAATTTATGACATTTTTTGCCTCGCGTTATTAAAAATTTAGTACTAAAGGCCTCGCCTATACAACAATTTCCCCAGGTCTAATTTCAGCTCGGACAATAACTTTCCAATAACGTTAAAAAGCCGAATAAGTAAATCGTATACAGATCTAAATTCTATTGGATACACATTAATACTGGAAAATAGCTCTAAAAAATGAAAAAATCTTTAGGCGAGTGCGTGGACGTTGTAATGAAATATTTAAATAGACGACGATAATTAAAATACATAAGTAATAATTACCAATGTTATTTGCCTCTCCTACTTATAGCTCACAACAGGTCACTCGTAATATTTACTTTCTCCATTCTTCTAAAATCCATTCAATTTCGTTCTGACGACTCTCCTTCTCTTCTCGTACTTCTCAACTTAAAGGTTCCAATCAAAAAACTTTAGCAATAATTTTTGTTTGGTATTCATCTCGACCAGTTATTTATGAAACTAGCCTCTCATCCGGACAACAACTCTCTCCAATCAAAGCTCATTTTCAGGATAATTTTGTTTTAAATAATTGATACGGGATCATAAATTCATCGTTAATTATATGTTATAATATTATATTGACGCAAAACGAATACTTACCGACCACGAGTGAATCATGTTTGTACAATATATTTTTTTATATGTTATAGTGCTGTGACATCCAAATGGTAATCACTAATCAGAAATCGCATATGTCGACAGTCCTCGACGTTGTCACTATAAATACTAGGTACGTTTTTCGTTAATAAACTTACAATCACGGTGATGTATTGTATGATATCAGTTTCTTAACGGCAGTTGTAAAATAAACCGATAACCGTCCACTTGGACAGCGGCACTTCAGATTTTCGCAATCGTCCGTTCGGATTTCAATAGCCAATAAAAAAAAATGTGTCTAAAATGCATTTCCCGTTTAATTTATAGTACAATTGATATTGCGCTGTTCTAATATCTGTGTGACAAGTGGGTTGAACGGGATTAATCTTGGATAATATAATTATTTAATTTTAATGTACTCGAAAATATTAAAAACAAACAAACAAAAGTGGACTTATTTCTGTAACGGAGTCCAGCCAGTTTTTATTTTTAAAAATGTTATGACTTTTAATGATTTTTTTCAGTAACTCAACATCTGTATAAAAACCAAAACCTTTGTAGCTGTGAGTTATATCTATTACTATAAGTATGACGAACATCAGATTAATACAGCTTGTAATACATTATGATGTCAAATAGGTAATTATTATTTGCATAGTTTAAGTTAGAAACGTTAATCTACCTAAACAACTGTGAAACAAATAACAATACCTATCACACCAGTCTGTAATTTTCACCATCGTGTCATCATACACTAAGTCGACGACATAAAGAAACATTGTTTAAAAAATGATTTGAGTGACTTACCTCATTGATTTTCTGTTCCATAACCTAAATTATTCACCTTGTCTACCAATAATATTACTTTCTGTTTGTGGTGCCGTATGAAATTATTTTACAACTATACCTAAAAAATAGTGTCAATGATTAAAAAAAGTCTCTACCGTGCTGCAAAAATAATGTGGACAAATAATATTTTACAAAAAAGTGTGACAAGCACATTTTTTAAAACGGAAAGAATTTTTTTTTTGAATACCTGTCCATAGTTGTACCGAGACAATGTACAGGTAAGTTTCATAGATATAATTTTAATTGTGGTTTGAAGACTGAAGGTATAAATACGTAATTCTTCACATTATACCTAAACTAAATGATTTATACGATAAACCTTTAGTAAGTTAAATTAATGTAAAACATGAATTTGTATTATGTAACAATTAATAAAAAAACAGTAAACAATTATAAACAAGCTTGATTGATAAATACGAAACCAGTGAATTAATTAACGACACACGAGTGCATTATAGTAACGAATTTATTATATGCACTTGAGATGTTAATACTTTAATTATTATATATACGATCGATCTGTTACAATATGCTTACGAAATATTTGTATTTATTGGTGTATATGAATGGACAAATGTGACGGTAAATTACATCACTTGCATTTTTTTCCCATTAGATACGTCAACTATGATTCCGATAAAATATCTATTCTCAGTAAAATTGAGTAAATTATCGCTGCTTACACCTTACACCAAAAGAAAAATAATTTCTTAAAATATATAAGAAACAGAGGAATAACAATTGAACGAAAAAGGCTGGAGTTCCAAAACTATTACGTTTCTGATCTATTGGTTGACGTACGTCACGTGTAAGTATTACTATCTTAATATATATATTTATTCACTGCACCAATTTTGATGAATTTTTTTGTGTTTGCTTGAGTGGGACATTGAATAGTTTGGATTTACAATTAGACCCCGTAGTCCCAACCCGGGGAGGTGCTCAAACGGGGATTTTGAGATTTACGATGGAAATTGTTGTTTATAAATGGTTGTTATTGGCAGTGGCGTATCTATTGGGGGGGATATGGGTGTCATATCTCTCACAGAAAACCAAATTTTGTACACAATACAACATGTATGTAATAATATGAATATAATAAATGTATATTAAATGCCTATTGAAAATTGTATATCCCCCCCTTGAAAAATTCCTAGATACGCTATCACAGTATAGGAGAAATAATTAGTAGAAATTAGTTTTTATTTATTAATGGTTGCCATTGGTTATTCGGACAGACCACTGATCATGTACAATCATGCATCAAATCGAATTTTCGCACATTGCCTATAGGCACCACTGCACCAGGGCAGATGAGTTGCACTTACTACAGCGAGTTACACCCAAAGTTGAACAATCGCAAGTTTTTTAAGAGGTATAATTGTTCACGGTAAACGAAATGCGCAGGATCAGATAGTACTATTATAATTTATAAATACATTACAATTAAAAAGTCAAATCTAAAATACTTACGCACGATACTCTGTGAAAGAATCATTAAGTTAGTGATAAGTAAGAGAAATAACTTCTTTTTTTTCATTTTTCTTCTATAATAGTACTTACAGTTTTTTAAAATCTTTTACACTGTTTAAATAACGAGTTAATTTTGAGTTGAATCTCGATGTTGATAATATTAAGGTAATTTAAAACTTAATATATTTTACAACAAAAATAATATTCCCTGAGCTTGTACGGTTTATATGAGATTTGGAACCACCCATTACCGTGACCACGGTAGATGAAAGGGATCGTAATTTGCTGCTCTGGCATTTCCGAAAAGGAAAAAAGGTCAGTCACCAGAAAATAAATATTTTTTTTTTTAATATTTCATATTTTCACGAAATTTATAAATATTGCATTTACATACACTATTGAGTAGAATTTAGAGTTTAATTTTTTCATAAGCTATTATAGATAGGTACCTACTAAGGATTTAGGAATATAATATTACTTCAAATTTTTACAATTTATTGATTTTAATCAATATTGAATAATGAGTACCTATATACCTATAATAGAATAAAAGTATAAGAACAATTAAAATTGTATTTTATTAAAAGTAATATTATAATATCTTGAATGTTAATTATGAACTAGCTGATCCCATGCCAACTCTATATTTGATTTAAATTTTGTTCGTTGTTTAATATTCGGTGTATGATGTTCAAAAGTTAACATTTTTCATCGATCATCTTGAATCACAAAATACTTGTGTAAGCACACTTTATAAAATGTGAATTTTGGAAGAAGATTTCTTAGTGCTCACTTACAAATTGTGACATTAAGGAAGGTACCGTGTTAATGGCAATCCCCAAGCTTTCATTATTTAGGCTCTAAGTTGATCAGTCAGTGAGTCAGTCCGGACACGTTCGATTATAATATTATACAATAGCCATCCCGCCGGCCTTTGCCTGTGAGACACGCTTGTGATTATGCAAGCAATATATTTTCAGGGGGACGAGGTGGCCGAGCGGTCTAACGCGTCGGCTGCGGCGCTGCCTGTCGCGGTTTCGATTTTCGACCACCGGGTGGCATTTTTCTCCGGGCAAGTCACGGTGTCCGGAGAACAAGTGCCGCCATCCCCCACCCGGGCATGGCAGATACCTACGGGTGCCCAATCAAAAATTCTGCCAAACAGAACACACACGTGTAAAAACCCTACCATTACAAAACCCTACTACCTACAATCATAAAAACTCCACAATCAGCTAATGGCCATAGTGGCCGGGCTTTAAAGATCAAAAAAAAAAAAATAAATATATTTTCAGGTAGGCAAACCACTTGTGGTGGATTGCAGATACCACGAGGTGTGTACTTAATTACGAATGTTTTATTAACTCGTTGACCGTTGTTTATGATATGCATGTGAAATACCATTTTCATTAAGTTATATGGTTTAGATCAAATTTAATATACAGGTTTAAAATTATATTCCATCATAACTAGGGCTCGGGTTTAAATGTCCTAAAAATATCAAAAAAATGCCCTTTCAAAAAATGCATTTATGACCTAAAAACTCTAAAAAATGCCCTAAAAATATCAAAAAATGACGTTTCAAAAAATGCATTATTTATTAAATAAATTCAAATTTAATTATTATTAAAAAATGAGGAACAAATAAAATTCTAATAAAAATTATAAATTATAAATTAATAAATTATATTATTACAATGTACAAAATAAAAATAAAAATTAAAAATTAAATTATATTTGCATTGCATTGTACAATAAGAATTTCTTTAATGTTTTGGAATTTAAATGATCGACGGTTGTCTGCCAATAAGTCATAATACGACAAATAGGTAAGGTCGTAGTAGTAAATATTGTAAGGCTGTGTTATTGGTTATGATTCATAACCAATAACACAGCCTTACAATAAACAATAAATATATTATATTATTATTCAGTTTATTTTCTTGCTGGACAGATGGTCCCACTTTTGTATTTTTTACATCCAGATTTCTTACTTTTCTTGTAGATTTTCCTAAAATGTTCTTTCATAGAAACCTTGTCCTGAAAATAACGAACACAATAAAAAATAAAACAGCCAAATCGGTGATGACGTTCTCAAGTTATGTTGTGACAAAGAGAAATAATGATTTATTTTTATTTTAACTTTAAGAGATGGCACAGTAAATGTGGTCCAGTACGTCTTATTGAGTCATGGTAAATGATAATAATATTATTATTTAAGTTTATTTTTTATATTTTCGAAGATAATTAAATTATTAAATTGAATAGTTCTTAAGACACAACGATTATCTATACCAATATACCATGCATCGTTATGGACACCATTTGCTGAAGGTATTCAATATAATTATTCTAATTCGAGCTTCTGATATCCACATTCAAGTACTCAACGATGATATTATATTCAAAGTTCATGACTTCATGTTTATATTTATTCGTTTTTTCCGTACTAACTAGTATAGGTAGGTAAATTGTAAATTGCTTAATATAGATAGTGAGTTATTATAATATTATATTAAACAATGGTAATTTTTGTTTCGTTTGGACAGATAATAGCCCGGTTAGCCGGATAACACCACATTACTATACCTATATTTATATATAGATTTTGTAACTCTCTACCATCATCACAAGCTTGCTTACAGGTGGTAGATAGATTCATCTTATTATTATATTTTTGTAAATTTGCTCTTTTTGAGCTATGTATAATTTATTATAATAAATGAATTTTCTAAGAAAGAAAAAAAAAATATATATATGTGTATAATATTAAATTGCTGATTGCATTATCAATAAAATGTTTTATAACTAATTAGTAATTAACGGTGTGTGTTATTATCAAGGACGAGTTTAGGTGTTCGTTGTAGGTAGGTATGGATTTTATTTTTATATTGATCTAGTGAAGTACTACTCATACACGGTGACATAGTATGCAACGATTAACGGTACACATTGGTAACGAATTAGGTAGTAAAGGTTGATTACAGAGTAAATTAACGTATATGGCTTTATTATATGTTTGAACAAGTACCTCGATCATTTGAGTGGGTGATAGGTTCGCCCCTTCCAACACTTACATTTAATTTTTCTTTTTTATGATTCATTAATTAATTTACAAATTGCAATATAGGTAATAAATATAGTGAATTTAGTTATAACTAGTAGGGGAAGAAATACGTGTGGGGAGGCAATAATAATGTTGGAGGATATACAATGCTAATGATTGAGGGAAAGAAATGATACGTGGCCCCTCTAATGTGGCAGTTCAAAAATATAAAAATCACTTGCTATGACAATAATATGATTATAGTTTAAATTTGTAACTGTAATATTTGAATATGTGAATATAAAAATAATATGCTCAGCGTGAAACCTGCACCTTTCCCTCACTACAAACACGGGACAAATACGCATTTGGGATGAGTAGAATAATTATGATTTTGATTCTAGAACAGGTGGCGAAACTATGAAAAGTGGGTGAAAGTTAACGATGGCACGTTGCAACATTTGACAAATTTAAACGAAAAGAAAATTTTTTTTTTGAATCTTACAGTCAATAAAAAAAATATATATGACAAACAATTTTATTTATTAAAAATAATATTTTTACTAATTATAAAATGCATAATATTTGTAAAATACTTCCAGATATATTTTGTAATTTGAAAGTTCATTTTTCACGAGAATGCGATCAAACCAAAACTGGGAAATACATTTAGGGATAAATATATAGCGCTAGTTGTGTTTTATTAAAACTAACGAATACACACCTTAAATTAAAAATAATCTAATCATAAACTCGAATAATAATCAAATTTAAAATTGAATGTTATAGGTAGGTGGATGAGTTTAGGTCCAATTAAAAAGAAGATAACTAAATACTAATAATATTATGAAAAACGAAATTGAAACACAATATAGTAGGCTATATTAATAATTTATTGTAGTACACGTTTCTATAAACATATTATATATATTTTTTAACATATTTTGTTGTGCAAACAAAAAGTGCATCCGTCAACAGCTAATTTCATATTAATTGTTATTTATTCATTTATACATTAACACTGTTTGGTTTTTTAAGCAATAGACAATAGTACTTGTTAATTTAAAAAAAAACGATACTTGATATTTTTACTCTGCAAGGAAAACCTATGAATCATATAAATATGTATTTAGGGGGAGTCTTGGTGACCCTTGTCATGGTAAAAAATAATAAATGTTATAACATTTATAAAAATCGGCCTCTTGAAAATCGGTCAAAAAAAAAAGTTGGACAGCCAAAAAGATATTTATGTTACATTAAAAAATTGTCTTAAATACTTTATACGTAATTTGCACATTTTTAACAAATTTCTCCATTCCACAGTCCCAAAAAAATTGTTTATAGATATGTACGCGTACATTTTTATAAAAATTAAAATTACAATACTTTGGCTCATATAGTTTTTTCCGTGCTTTCACGCATGAGTATAGGTGACCCGAAAAAGGTTTACCACTTCTGCAATTAAAACATACATAATTGCTCACAGATGAATTGCTGCAAGGGCGAGAGATTATGTTTTCTTACCCATTTTCCCTATAACATTCTTCCCACATTTCGGTATAAAAATCTATATAGTGGATTTTTGTGTATATTTTCTTAATTATTTACTTCTTAAAGAGGTTATGTTTTGGTAAAATGTGAAAATTTGGCCCGGCCAGCTCTGCAGCCAACCACTTTCATGACGATAAGTATTAGAATTACGTCTAGAATTTTGTTTGTGAAAAATGTTAATTGTTATTTTTAATCTACGAGTATGTGTACAAAGAGCGGTTATTTAGTCAGCACCTTGATTAGGTTATAGATTAAATTTAACTGTAATTTGAATTGTCTTATTTAACGAAGATAGATAAGGTAAAAAGCTAATCCATATTCATCTATTTATATACAAAAAAGATTTATGTTTACACATTATATAATATATTGGTTATTATTCCGATATGATATTTGAAGAGAAGATCCGTTCTGGATAAGTTGATTAGAAAGGAATAATAATATACAGAAATCATGAAAAAAAAAACGTTGAGAAAGTTGTTGTAGATAAGATGGAACACTTTTTGCAGGACAGATCGGAGTGTGAATATTTGGCAATACAATAATATGAATCTAATATCGGTAAATAATTATTATAATAATAGGCACATTTAAATTGTGGAATAAAGTATTACAAACTAGCCGTGGCAGAATATAATAATAGTTATAATTACACACTACATTTTAAAAAAGTTTCGTAATTATAGTATTTCATAAAAAAAAAAAATTGCGCCACAATTTTCATATATAATACTGTAAATGGTTATATATTATAATATTATAAGAATATGAAATTATCACCTATTATAATATTATAAATGCAAATATTTTATTCCATATATTTTATCATGAAACGAATTAGTAAGAGATTTTCGGATCTTGTTTGTGTTCTTTGTCTTTAATTGCTTGTTGTTTAAAACCTTCCAAACTGTTGTGAACTCCGTAGAACGCATATATCAATAATCCTGTAAAATAAAAATCAACATAATTATTCTTATGTTTAAATTTTTCATGGACGATAGCTTTAAAAATTCCGGGGAACGGAGTGGCCGAGCGGAAAAAGTTGCGACGCACACCGACATCGGTTCGATACCTCGGTCATGGGTGGCATTTTTCTTCGGGCAAGTGACGGTGTCCGGAGAACAAGTGCCGCCATCCCCCACCCGGGCATGACAGATACCTACGGGTGCCCAAATCAAAAATTCTGCCAAACAACACACACGTGTCCCCCCGACCAACAAAAAAAAGTTGTCGAGCTCAAGTTCAATAATAAAAAAAAAAAGATTTAATAAATTATTAAAATATTTTCTTAATTAATATTATTTTTATTGGAAATACGCCTTGTTTGCCATCTGGGCCTCCGAGGCCATTGACTGGTTTCAATATTTACATTAACAGTACATTATTATTTTGGTTTTTTATCATTTTTTTTTTCATAATAATATCATATAGTTTATTAAATTAATATATTATTATAAATTTGCAACAATGTATAACCCATAACCGGCTATTAAATGATCGATCATTTTTTTAAACTTTTACGTGTCCCTTTTAACAAATGTAAATATTTGACCAATATCGCTCCCATTGTTAATCATTGACTATATGGTAAGCCATAATTCGTTAGTTGTTTGTGTAATTAATTAAATTATTATGTCATTTTCACAAATGTTAAATGTATATTGCTTCATTAATAAAATTAGAATAACCTAATGTAATAAATACGTATTTGAACTTAATATGTAGGTATCTAACATGTAATTATTGGGCTCGTTCAGTGTTAAAATATAAACAAATAATAATAAATAAACTATAAACTATCAAACAAATATTGCTACCATATGAAAAACAAATGTTTCGACTTATATTATGTTAGGTATTTAATCAAATAAAATATAATATTTGTAACTACTTGACCCGGCCAATTCTGTATTGCCCTGTTATTAATAAATGTTATGCTAGCACACGATGAAATTAAGGAACTTATTGTTTATTTTATGTATATTATAAAACATTTATATAATATTCTATAAGCTTTAATTTATTTTTATCTTTTATTTGGCGGCACCTTCCCAAAACAAAACTTAATGTTAACATCAATCAATGTTGTAGATACCTTGATTAAAGAGTACCTACTCACAAACGTACAATCATTTTTGTATAGGTATATATATCTATTCTTAGAAAAATGTAACAATCGGAAATACTTCGATTGTTCTTATTTTTTTTTATTCATTAGCCCACGGAAACTTGGGCCATTGGGCGGTTTTTAACTGCGGGGGAGGGTACTGTATTTTTTAAATAAGTGTGTTTGTTAGTTTGGCAGATTTTTTAGTGGGTACCAGTACCTGTCATGGCCGGGGGATGGCTGCACTTCTATCCGGACACCATGACTTTCCCGAAGAAATATGCCTTAGTCCGCTGAGACCCTCCATTCCCCTGTTATTATTTTATTATTCGGTGAAATAGTGATCTATCAAGGCGTTAATATATTATATTATATATAATATTATGGACCATTTAATATTTATAATGATAGCGATGTATATTTTTAACAATTATGCATAGTTAATATCATTAAGAGATGCCTTTACATTTTGTTATACGTAGTTAAATATTTATTCCATCGGTGATGTCGTGTGGAATAAATTAAAATATAATTCCTTTATGAGTATAAACTATATTATCCTTATACATACCTACTACAATCCCTATACCAAATCTCATCCAAGTTTTGATATTCAGCTCCATCATTAAGTATATATTAAGTAGTATACTCAAACATGGCACTAGAGGAACAAAAGGTACCTAAAAAAAATTACAAAATTACAAAACATGATAAAAAAATATTACAAATCATCATCAATTAAATTAACATGGTACTATTATATGAGGGTGATTATTTAAGCTACCGGCAGGTACTAACTAATGCTGTAAAAATAATATATTCAATAATGTTTCGTCACGATATGGGTCACTAACACTGAACACACAGGTCCTTTACTGGACATTCAACTACATAATATATACAATGTAATGTAATTTAAGAAGAAAACATTTTGTTCCTTATTTCCGTTTCAATAAACAATTTGGGCTAAAATCAGATTGAAATCACTAATTATCAAATTGAAAGAAAATTACATAGTGCAGGCAATCTATCTTTTTTAGTATTCTACTAAATTATTACAAAATAATAAAATTATAAGTTAAAATATAGAAAACAACACATTATACCATTGAATACAAGTTACAACCATAGATTAAGTTAACTTATTTTGATTAGACACTTATTAATTGACCTATTGTCTTAAGTGTAAGACAATAATAGATACACACGGTTATGGACTTATCACTCATATATCAACTAAGTACGTTTATCTGTATATTTTGGCCGTTAGATAGACGGGAACAATATATAATTCTCAATATATCGTCATCTCGAGCATCTCGATCGACATCTACAGGCCATGAATGATTAATTTAAAGTACAGACACTATCATTATCATGAAAACTATAAAATTAAATGTTTTTAAAAATATCTTTATTTAAATAATTTAAAGTCATTATAAAAAACATTTTTCTAAAAAAATAGATATATTTTTCACTATATTTTTTTATCATGATCATTTTTTAAATATTTGCTGTTTTAATGACACTCATTTTGAATTTCGTATTCCAAATCAAAATATTATTTTTTGGTGTATTTTGTTGTATAAAATCAAATTTTGTAAAAAGTCTGTGATAGTTATGACTTATAAGTATGTATATATGATTGATTAAAATATATTAGATGAAGGGAGTAGAGTGGTACAGAAGTCCACATAAAATGTTGGTCACTTTATAAGTTATAACTAATAAACTCCTTGGCCAAAATTTGATTTTTATAGATCGAAATACTCTGAATAGTATTCTGCTTCGTTATATAAAATGAAAAATATTTGCTGTTCTTCAAAAAAAAAAAAAAAAAATAACAATAGAAACTACTCTGAAAATAGTAAAAATATTTAGAGTTATCTAAAATAATTAGTGTCTTATGTTAAATCTCTCTCCGTATTATTATTATACCCATATATATCGTATAAATACTATGCGATTAGCATAAAAAATTAGGTATAATGTTTTGTACACTTTCTTACCCTGAACGACAGATTTTCGACGGCTTGTGGAAGTCTACATAACATGAACAGGGAAATCAATAAGGTTGCAATTGAAATCCCAATTACGATAGTCAACGATAACTGCAAATACCCTTCGCAATAGTTAACGTTCGTCATACAAATGCAAAACACAAACGCGGCAAATGCTATGATAATACAAGACAACAAAATAGAATATTATAACGCGCTACCGTATAAAATTATTATTTTAGTAAGTACACGTATAATACAAAACGAATAATACAAAACGAATAATAGGCTTTTTTTAAAAAAAAAATCTTACTGTAAGTGAGTATCAGCACTCTCGACACGTATTGAGAATCCGTGTTGGTCAGTCCTGTGTTCGATGCATTCCACCACTTGTAAATTATATGAACTTCGGAGTTGTCCAAGTCCTGACTAACTGAATTGTTGTTTTTATACCTGAACGACAAACAAAGTATAATTATGATATTATGAAGTGTAATAAAACGGAATCGAACACGATCGTATAAACTATAAATTATTAATATTGTAATACACGTTTCTATAAACATATTTTTTTTGATTATGTTTAATCATACATCTGATGGAAATAAAAACGCTTCAGTCTACGACTAGGTTGATATTCATTTAAGTAAATACTACATATATATATATATATATATATATCGGTCGAAAACTTATAATCGAGGAATAATATTATAATTCTGGTCAAAAATTTTATTCAAAACTCTTAATGATGAATTCTACTCATTATTACACACCTGAGTATCAAAATACAGACGCAAACCATCAGATACGACATGAGTGTGCCAATAGACGTCATCTCGACGAGTTGTTCGAGATTGAACATGGACGACAGCAAGCCTAGAAAATCGGTTTTGACAAAATAAATGTATAGCTATAACATCATTTATTACAGATTGTATATATTATATTCTTGTTTGTTAGAATAAAAAAAAAGCGGGTAAGTGGATGTCGCTCTGCTGTACATTATTTCACAAGTTGGTCAATGTATAATGGATTGTATTAAACTTGAATTCAATGATAATATAATATCATTGACCATTGTATAAGAAACACAATTCTAAGCTGAGACGATTTGTCAGTCTGTATATTTTAAATTGTTATTATTTATTATTTATTACCTATTTAAGTTGAATTAATATTATTATTTTTTTATTCGTTTCTATGGTGATACACAAAGCGTTAGAAATTAAAATCCCGTTTTTAGCGGTTTTTCGTAATTTGTCGTTGGTTTTTGCCGTGGTTTTAAATAACTATTGAGAAAATCAATAAATGATCTCTTTAAAGTACCATATTGATCCAATTTGCCAAAATATAAGATACTATATTATGTTGAAATCGAAGAACTCTTTCGGGTAGAAATGTTGTATACAGGATATAAAAAAAAAAATAATAAACACCATTGTAAAACCACTAGCTTCCTCGCTCCGCTCAGAATCTAAAATATATTACATCGCAGTCTACGCGTTAAACCTCTTACCAGTGCCAATTCCGCAAATCATTGTCGCCAAAACGGGAGTCTTTGTTTTTTCGTTGACCGTCGATAAGCACTTGAACAAAAGACCGTCGCTGGACATGGCGTATAAGATTCTCGGTATAGGAAATAAACATCCTAATAAGCTTCGTGTATCATAAAAATAATGAATTAGAAAAATTTGGCACGAACAACTGTAATACCAAATTAATATTACAAAAATATAAAGGTTAATATTATTACGTCGTCATAAGAGCGAATACCGCACCGCAGGTAACCATATATTTGATGATTGGCATTCCCATGTTCTCGTAAATGACGGGCAGAGGTGCGTCCGGGTCCTAAGAGACAATCACAAAACTAATTAGTACACCCTAATGTGGTTTCGTTCTAAGACTCAGGGGTAGGAGACCTTTCTTTATATCAAGGGCTAGAAACGCTTAAAAAATATTTGATCAGGAGCAATACAAAAGTTATTAAACTTCACAATAAACATTGTAGAACAAAGATTCTCAAAGATTTTTTTTTTCGAGTAGGCACCTATCACTGATTTTTATATTGGTTCGGCAATGTACCACTAATGAATAAACATAGAACTTTTCCAAATTAATAATAATAATGTTAAAGAACGGTTATTTAGATAAATTTAACATGTTTAGTAACACGGTGTTACGTGGTGCGTATGTATGTGTATAATTTAACTACAAAGTAACAAAGCGATATAATCAATTCATACAAAATCTTAACCAAACCTAACCGTACTAAAATCCGATCAATAAAAAAAAAAAAACGTTCGTATATAGGTATAGATAAAGAAGAAGAAAAAAAAGGAAAAATAAGATAAAAACAATGCAATTATTAATTAATAAAAATAATTATACCAATAGCAACGATTTATATATACAAATTTCCAAAAAAAAAAACAATGTAAAAATGTGCAAAAGATTTGTCCACCGAAACCGTGGTTCGAACTTGAAACCCCTGTTTAAATCCCTTGGTTGAGAACCTCCCTGAGTTGGATCTCTTATTCACCTTTTTGAGACAAAATGTAGCCTATCTTCTTCCCCTTGGTCTAATCTATCTCTGTACCAAATTTCATCGCAATCGGATCAACGGTTTAGGAATGCATAAAGGACAGAGGTGCAAACAGTTTTTGTCTTATATATAATATGTAGGTACAAATATTATAAATTTATTACGCGGACCAGACAAAATTTGATTGAGGGTTGTCGACCTCAGCTGACTTAGATCATAAAAATGTTATAATATTATACTTGATCGTAATACGGCCACATCAAAGTTAACACCGACGCTACGCTAGAATATGCCAACGTGACGAAGAATAACGATAATATGATCGCTAGAGGAATGGTTCTTTTCGGATCTTTTGTCTCTTCACCTACAAGTACAATGAATAATAATTAGTAAAATAGATTATATTAAATTATAACTATAATGAACAGACATCAAATATCCACACTGTAGAATGTACTTTAGTCTGACAACCTAAAGTCAGAATTTTTTGCAGAAAATTCTGACTTAGAATAGTTGAATGTAGGTATCGTACAGACTGTTGGAGACTGTTGCAGACACACTTGTTGAGAATACTTTTCGTCACTACTGAAATAGTATTGTAAATATAATCAAACCTGTAGTAGCGATTGAATCGAATCCAATAAACCCGTAAAAGCATCTAGCGGCGCCTGCGATTATTCCGTTCCAACCGAATGGTGAAAATCCTCCGTCGCCGCCATCCACTCCCGGTGGAATTTCACTTTTCGGAATAAACCAATTGGACAGTTTACCTGAAATCAGTTAAGCATTCGTTTGATTTACCGTCAAAACTATAGTTATTATAAGTGATGCACGTATTTTACAAATCATATAGTATGGCTTATGCTTGAGTTACAAATCATGACTGTCATTGCTATTTAACGTGACTAATAAATCTCAGATCGATCAAAGGGAAACGATATTACTGTGTTATAAATAGTTTTTAAAATGTTGTAATATATTATTACGGTTTCATTTGATTTATTCCTTATAGTACTTAGGAAGTATCGTAAAAAAATATCGAAGATTCGAAGTACTGTAAGGCATGACCTAACGTGTAGTTTATATCATCTAGTTTTTTCATATTATAATAATAATATTAATTTACTCTGTATGTGTATTATACTATTTAGGGTTTTTTTGTAATTTGACTGTGGTTTTTCCAGTGGCATTAAATAACTATAGATAAAATCAAAAAAAGACCTCTCTAATGTACCATCTTGATCCAATTTGTTAAAAGATGAGATACTATATGTGGAAATCGAAGCACTCCTTCTGGTAGAAATTTTGTATGCAGGATAAAAAATATAAAATAAACACCATTGTAAAACCACAAGCTTTTTTCCTCTGCTCAGAATCTAAAATACATCAAAATTACAAGTACGAGTTTATCTACACAATTTTTATTTAAACTGCACTTAGTATTTTCATTATTTTTCTACAAAACAAGTGAGTAGTATTAATTAAATCAAATTAAATCGTACATTAGATACCTAAGCTTCTTTTATTTAACTGAAAAAATAAAATTGGATAATTTTTTCTCGGAATTATTGTTTTTTTGTATTCCGAAAAATCTGTATTTTTTTATTACGTGCTATTGCAGTGACAGTCGAGAAATATTTCATATTCGTTTTCGTGCTTACCTAGAAAAAAGCCACTAACGACTACTGTACCCAATGTCAACAAGTTCAACAAGGTAAACGCTTTATTGAGGGTTGAAGATTTCTTGACACCCCAGGCCACAATTACTGAAAAATGACATACATATTATTATTATTTACTACAATTAGTACACAATAATTTGCTCGCCATGAAACTACTATGAGATTAGATTTCGTTAGTTAATTTTACTTATTGTGTTGAATTATTAATTATCATTGTTTTGATGAACATCAATCATTTTCACGAAATTCTTAATTTTAAGATTTATATATTATTATTCTTTAAAATATAATAATCAATTTGAATTACCCATTTTAAGAAATATTCAAATATTTATTGTTATTTACGTAGGTATTCAACCATACAATTTTATTACTACACAAATTAACGAAATACCAAACAACAAAAAGTTTCATGAGAACAGCGATTTAAATACAATTTATTATTACACGCAATAAAAATGACGAAAAAGAACGATGCAAAATCTGGATATTCACCCAAAAAATCGACATGCATTGGAAAATGTTTTTTAAAATATCTCTTTTGAGGATCTCCGAGTAAAGCATCTAAATAATTAGTCATCGCTTTGGCGACGGAAGCTGTACCTATAAAACGATAAATATTATTACAGTAGCAATTTTAAAATATTATGTCATCGGACTTGATAATTTATTATTCGACGACTCACCAATAGTGTGTTCAATGTACAAAGTCCAACCGATAAAAAACGCAATGAATTCTCCAACTGTCACGTAACTGTAAATATATGCAGATCCAGCTTTGGGTACACGACCAGCGAATTCAGCGTAACAAACTCCTAAAAATCAAAACAAATTTATCTTTGGTGCATTATTATTAGAACCAATAGAACCATATTGTATAAATAACAATATATTTTACTTAAACCGCTAGTATTGTATTATATTGCATATTATAGATATTTGAGTTTTAGTAAATATATGGATAAAAAAGCCCTATCTACAGTTGACTTGTTTTACTAATAATTTGTGAAATTGTAATAAAATTCAACCACAAATAATATTATGTACAATATTGTAGTACACTTCTGTTGAAGCCTGTAGGATGATTCTTTCAAAATCGAAAAATCATATGATTTGAGTAAATTTGCTATACATTATATTATTATTATTTGATTAAAAAAGAAACACATTCCAAATTTCTAACTTCAGTATAAACATTCTCTGCACTATATAATATTACGCTTATTATTTTCACCCTAGTGAACTTCATCAACTATTATATCCTTAAGAAGATGTCAGAGCACCATTTGTTTTCTCTCTCTGGCCTTTGCTCAAAAAAGCAAATTTTTGTTTAGAAAAACCAACACTGAAATTGAAAGGGTTATTTTTTACTTTATTTTAATTGTTAAACAAATTATAAGCATCTTTAAATTGTAATAATTTACACAATCATAAATTACATATAAATTAAAATATTATAAAAAAAACAAAGGTAAGGATACAGGTAATGTTCTTAACTTAAAGTTTAATAATAGGTGAATTAACTCTAATATTAAAAGTAATAAAACAGCCACACAGGGTTGGGTATAAATCTAGTTTACGGCCCAAGCTCGTTATTCAAATTATTTTTTTCTAAAATGTGAGGTATAAAACACTGAATTTGAAATCGAGTGTTTGAAAAAAATTTCGCTCATTTTTATAACGGAAGTGATGCCAAAAAAACTGGAAAACCTACAGTAATTATTTATAATGGTATACCAAAAAATCCGGAAAACAATTGATTTTTTTTTTTTTGATTTTTTTGTGCGAGCGGGTGGTTGGTTCTGCTAAACGTACATTTTCCATGTTGCGTTCCCACTGTCACAGATAGAAGATAAATAGTGCTTATCCTCTTATGTCGATGCATAAATATGGAATGTTTTGAAATTATTCTTAAGAATGTTTTAGTGTAGATATAAAAGCAGTTAGGCTTCCAGGGGTGTTTCGTGAAATTCGTGGTCCACTGAGGCTTGTCACACGTGCCTTTAAACTTTAAATTCGTTATTTCTGCAGAGGTGCTACAATAGGCAAGATGGTGAATTAACACTTTAAAAGTATCTTATATTATATTATTGTAGTGTAGATAATCATCATAGGTAACGGTAGGTCATCTGATATTAGTAGTATTGACTAGAGTACGATTTACCGGAAAACGATGAGACGATCGCCGCCACGATGAAAGACAGTACGACCGCTGGTCCAGCGATGGATTTGGCCACCGTCCCGGCCAACACATATACTCCACATCCTAAAGTGGAACCAATTCCCAGAGCGGTCAAGTCGAATATATTCAACACTCGTTTCAACTTTTCTTTTCCCGGTTCGACCTCTTCAGTGAAAGTTTTCTTCCTGCACAACGTTTGATACAGAGTGCGGTTCTGTAAACAACACTCGATGAGGACAATTAATCAATTGGAAAATAGTATAGCCAGTATGCAGTATCAAAACCACAGTTAACTACTCGAGTACATAACCGTGATCGAAACGATTTTTTTGTCTTAATAAAGACAAAAGTTTCTATAAAGACTATAAAAGTATATCAGATTCACAATAATATTTCCATGATAATTTATTATAATGGATGTTGACCTTCTTTGTGCTAAGTGGAATCGACCAATTATTCACATGAGTAGCATATTTTATATCAATAAATATCTTATTTTTTAGATTATAATAGGAGTTAAAGTTTAAAATATACTTTTGTTAGATTTGTATTTTGTACATCCTGTCATCTAAACCTCCTATAATTCAAACATTTTTTAATTATTACCTATTTACAAATCCCACAATTATGTGTTAACAACTTAACTCTATAACGAAATTAAATTTTTATTTTGTAAGTACTATATAATAATATCATTGTGACTATATACATAACAAAAACCCAATTCATAACCGTCTAGCGTATTATATAATAATATTGTACGTCTATACAGCGTGTTAAATGCTTTAAACAAAATAAATCGAACTCACCGACAGCGAATTTCTCATGTTGAATTACGTGCAAAGTGGAATCCGTCCAAAGTGAACTCCTTGTAGCGTAGTCAATGTGCGATTTGAGGCATGTATACGGCTTTCGATCAAAGTCGGTGGTAAAACTATACCCTGAATAAACTTACCTTAAACAATATTAACGTCAGTGAGAAAATTTAAAAAAAAAAACAATTTATCGGTGATTTATACGCTGGCACTTCACTTTTACACAGTTGGTCGATCGACGCAGGCGGTAATAGCTGATGTTCAATAATAAACGTTCAAGATCGAAGGTATAGGAATTAATGAACTGATACCATTATGATTAGTGCGCTCTATAGTAGAGAATAATCTTCAAATACTTAATCGTATTGTTATTTGTTAGCCTCGAAAACATGAAAAATAAAATAAAGAAATAAAATCGACATCATGTTCTTGTAAATAACAAGCCGAACGATTTGTCAAACAGTTATTAGGTAATAATTGTTCAATAACATATTTATAATATAGGTTATATAGGTTCCAAAAATTGCTATTTTGGTTTTTCCAAAAGAATAATATTATGATATTATCCTTACTTTATGACCAACAACGAAACAGCAAACCTTTATAGTTACTACATTAATATTATCCCATAAGCGAGTTACGTTTTAGTAGTATTTATGGCCATTCCACCAATAAACCACAACATTGTTCTATTCTCAATCGATAAAAAGTGTAAATAAAAGATACCTATATTGTATTTGTATACTTATCCCCCCTTCCCATACCAAATCCCCAACTACTCCACTGGGGACACATAATTCTAAAGGTTAGGTTAGGTTAATACAACTGCTTCGGCCAAAATGACTTTCACATGATAGGGTAACCTATTGGTTAGCTCAGAATAAAAAATTTGACCTTGTAGCTACGGTAAAAAAATAATTTTTCCTCTTAATGAATTACACGCAGAGTCGTAAGATATTTCGAACACGCCTGAATATAATATGAAACAATAAATTGTAAACTCACCTGTTAAGGCATTAAGACATACTCGACATGTTAATCTCGTTACTATAAAATAAATAGTTATGTGATACATATGGTCATAACAATCACATTATAATTTGATTTCACAATAATATTGTATGACTTTATATCGGTGCATGCGGATAAATGCGCACCAGCAAGTTAGATTATTAAATTACCTATCATAATATCTATAAGCTACATTTTTTTTTAAAAGTTTTTTTCGTAATACTTGGTACCAGCTATATGCTCTATTTGTTAATAAATATCAATAGGTAAATCAGAAATAAATATAATACCATTAAGTTATATCTACCCGAATAGATCGTATATAATTACGAGAGTACAATTAAATAATAAAAAGTGGACAAGTAGGTGTAACTGTTCTGTTGTATAATGGTGTAGATAAAAAAAGTCAAGTGCACCTATCGTTGAGTAGATAACTGTAATGGATTTGTTAAAAAAAAATTTTGCAAATGTACACTTTTTTCGACACATTTCAGCAAAATTTTTAACTTGCTAACTTACGTAATTCCAAGTTAGTTATCATAATAATATTCGATAAATAATTATTAATTATTGAAAAAAAAATATCATAATTTGAACCAGCATATTGTGCTATTTGTTTTTTCTCTTTAGCCCACGCTCAAAATAGACAATTCATTATAATAGACGAAACGGATTCACGGAAAATCATTTTTTGTTTTTGATTAACCTGTAAATAAAACCAGATATTACAAAATTATAGATAATAATATTTCGGAAGGTTTGACATGAGTACCTAACAATTATTTGTCTTTAGTCTACATATTATTGTCTCAAAACCATTTAATAGGTATCTATTTAGATTTACAAAAATGTATTATATTTGTTTAATCGAATATAAAGTCTAATAGTAATAATAATATTAAAAACAAAAATATTTCAAACCCTCAAGAATTTTATCGCTATAATTGTGTAACAGGTTATATTTTTACTCAATCTTTTTGCATAAATGAGTATAATTGTCTAAACTACAACCTACAAGTGATCCAGAGAGAGAAAACCAATAGTACGCAGGTACGCTACTTAAAATTATAATAATATTATTTATATAATATAAATATATAATTATGTATCAATTTTGATAACTTTATTTGTGAATGTGAATTATAATCATAATCAATCGGCGACCGGTGTCCTTAAGTCCTTTGCAATCGCCCGCTGTCTGATTGGTAGATTTTATTCATGATATCGGCTAACTTCCTAATACCTACCCAAAATGTATCGCTAAGTCAAAATAAGTCGGTTTCTGGACATTTTGTATAAAATAAACATATTTTCTTAATATACAATAAATTATTGTTATATAATATGGACAATATATTATATAATATTATAATATATTGTTTGTATATAATAGAATCACGATTATATTCAAGACTGAAGTCAGAAATAGTGACATACATTTTTCATTATACATAGTTATTACGTATTCATAATGTTTTCCATGTTTATAATATAGTGTTTGATGGTACACGGTTTTGTTATTAATTCTGGGGCTTGAGTCAAAAAGGGCCAATCTCACTTTCAATCACTTAATAGTAATCAAGAATAAAACCTCTTTTTTTTTGGAAAATTGATAGCAATTTTTTTTTTTTATTGTTCAAGTTTTTGTTTTTGTGATGGATGTAAATATAGTTTACCCTACATTTTAAAATATGGTGTGAATTTTTTAGTGAAATATTGAAGGTTTTCTATTTACATTGGCCCTATAAAAAAAACATGACTAATGTTAAAAAATTTTAATTTTTAAAAATTAAATTTTAAAGGTAAAAACATCTTAGAAATTATTTAAAATTATTATCAAAATATTTTAAAATTAAGGAATGAAAACATTTTGTATTTTGTTGTTAAGCATTCGACTTGAGCAATTCCCCAAAAATGTCAATAAAAATAATAAAACCACTTTTTTAAGCAAATTCATAATTTTTTTTAAACAAAAAGGAGCCAATGTGAACATCGGCCCCATAGATTTTATAATTTTCATGACATTGGCCTTCTCATATCTCGCACTAATGATTATTGAGATACGCCCTTTTATCACTAGAAAAACAGTATAAAGTTTTATAAGATTGGCCATATAACCCAAAAAGTGAGATTGGCCCTTTTCTACCCAAGCCCCAGAATTATTTTAATGTATTTTGAGTATAATTAACACGGAATACGTCCGTGACAATATAAATTACAAAATATGTGGTGCATCTCAGCTCATGAATATTTAAAATCAAACTAATACGTTATTCAATTTTGATTCTATAATGTGCATATTAGATAATATTGGTGAGATTTTTAATAAAAAATCATAATTTATACTCAGTTTCCTACTATATAAACCTACAATATTTGCTGCCATAGTATGGAATAATTTCATAAATTATAAAATAATTAAAACGATTTACATATTACTAAATTATATTATTTACTATTTAAACCACGAGAGGAATATAATATATTATAATCAACCACATTGACTTAACTTTACGTCCCACAATCACTTTAAATCAACTAACAATAATCAGATATAAAATGAAGCAATTATTTTGTACTTAAACTATAGTAAGAAAACGAATGACTTTTATAGCATCAATGTACGTCTTATTGTGACTACCTAATGTAAGTTCAAAGCTGTTACCTATAAATTATAATATAACAATTCAAATTCTAAAAATATTACACGTTTACAAATTACCAATATCAAATTACAGCCTTAAACCCGTGAGATTATTTTCATATTTTTAATAATTATACCTTTACAATACATATGGATATGTAAAGTGTTTATGTGTGGTTCGTATATTATATTGAATAACTTTAGATAATATACGTGATTAATATTATAAATATAGATAGGAATAATAAAAAAATAAAATGTTAAAATAATAAGCATATAGGATAAGGGTTAAAAAAATAGATTTCTTGAATTATAAGATGCCCTCCATTAGTAACACTTAGAAATATTAATTTAAAAAATATTTTAAAACCTTTTCGTGCATAATATAATATGTATATTGTATATGCCGAATATATTATTGTATTATTAAATTATTTTATTAACTTCTAGTCAATCCTACCATCAGGCTTAACAATTTGATGATACTTGTAAAACTTTATTTTAATTCGTTAATATACCTAATATCTGCTCGAGATCGATCATTGATCGAATATTAATTTCAATTTCGAATAATTAACATTTTTTAATTGCATACATTTTAAATATTCCAATCAAGACGTTTATCTAATTATTCTGATAAATTAGAACCAGCTAGGATAATAGTATAACTCCGCAGATATTATTGTTATAAGTTATATAGTTAAACTATCGATACTATTATGAATAAATTAGTTTTCATAAGAATGTATTAATCTTAATACAAATAAAACTTATAAGAAATTATGTTCACATAATAATATAATATAATATGTATTGTATAATATGTGCACCACTGCGAATATATATAGCCAACTCAGTTGTTGAGTATTATTTAAATTAATAATATAATATTACTACTTAACATCGATCAAAATCAAAATGCTAACCACATATATTATTTTAATTTTTTAATTCTTGTGAAAGTCAATTTACAATCAACAAAATTGTAGATAATAATAGTTCATGATTTAAACATAAATATGTTTTAACTTTTAACCTTATTATTAAACCTAATGCACGTGTGGATTCATAATTTTTTCGATTTGTGTCTAGCTGGTCACAGGGGCATTAGGTCAATTAAAAAATCATCCCTTTCTATCCACGCGTCACTGAGTTTTCAATTCATTCTAGTCCCACATACCGTAGACGTACACGAAGACTCCCGGGTTTGATGCCTTGCGGCTACAACCGCGGACCTCACATTAGCGCTGTGCGCTAGTCGAGAGCCGCGGAGGTTCACGGTCGGCGTACGGTGGCGTTGCCACCAACCACCGCCCGCGCGTCGTCTATGGACCACGAGCACCGTGCGCACACCCGTTCCCAACGAAGTCGGGAGAGAGTGCGCCCGTACCGTTGGCTGAGGCATGCACGTACCCTTCGCCACCCAGGTCGGGTCGCAAGCTATCCTCATTGCTTCCCGTTTTTGGTTACGGGCAACCTCCGGTGCATATAGCCCCACCGGTAGGCTGGGTGAGCGCTAAGGAGTTTCTCACTCGGCAACCTTCCCCTAGACCGAGCATTTGGTCTTTTAACCATAGGGTTAGCTCCTGCTAACAGCCACTCCGAAACCAAACCGCCGTCGACCGCGCCGCAACCGAGGCTGGGCGCGACCGCCGTGTGAGGGCACGTCGTCAATCATCTCGACGCCGCGGGGCCCCCCCACATCCCGAAGTACCATTCTCGCCCCCGTTAGGTAGGCCCATCAATGGTGAGATGGCCGGGCCGAGCTTCGTCGACTGGGAGTCTCAGCTGTGGTCCTGCCGAGAGTATGATCGTGTATCACGGGCTCACGGTGGGCCCTTACCAGCGGCGATCGCCCTGGCGCGCTGGCCGCGACCCCCGAGTTCAAGGCTCGGTAGCCTTTGCCACGCCTCCCAGAGGCATCACCGAGGTGATCGACTCGCTCTTCGCGGGGTCGCAGTCAAAACCCCCAACACCCTAGTCCCCGAAGGTTTCGGTGTGTCCGCGTCCCGGACGCCGGCCCCGACTGGCCATTTCCCTTTTAGTCGCCTCTTACGACAAGCAGGGAATACTGATGCTGAATTCTGGACGGCCCCAGCACCAGGGCCGAACTCCTCGCCCTTGGCGCATGAGCACGCCCCTGGTCAGGACGCGCTCGAGCGTGCCCCGCCGCTTGTGCCGCTTACACCGTGCGTGCTCATCCGGGGCACCCCGAGACTATGCACATACACCGCCTGGTGTGGCTGCGTCCTGACCTTGATAGGTCTACCTATCTGTTCTGTTCGTCATGCACTTTCTACTGAACTTTCTCAGGGCTTCGTAAGTTCTTCTGGTACTTAGAAAGGCTCCTTTCTCGGGAGGCCACGATGCTTGCTCTTCCCTCATGACCGTTATCAGGTCTTCTCGGTAAGCCCTTGTCCTGGTGCACGCCAAGAGTACGTGTCGCACTGTTTCCGCTCCATTTCCGCACGCGCAATTAGCGCTTCTCACGAGCTTGAACCCGTGCAATTTCGCATTGAAGTCGCCGTGCCCAGTGAGGAACTGGGCCGTGTAATGATCCATTTTCAGCGGCAGTGCGCATCTTCGAGCCAGATCTGGTATCATTATTTTGGTCCACTCGCCCTTGTCCGTCTCATCATAGCGGGTCTGCCATTCCGCGATGAGGCCCTGGACTCCGTCCTCGTATTCCTGGCTGCTGATCGTGCCATTTCTGAGTCGACATTTCATCGTCACTCTCCTAACCTCTAGGTCAAGGGGCAGTACGCCCGCCACGGCCGAGAGGCAGTTGGTTGATGCCGTCCTATAGCAGCTCGTTATTGCCAGCAGTGGGGATCTTTGCATGCTGCACAGTGCATTTATGCTCTTTTTGAGCCCGCACCCTTCCTCCGCCCATATTTCTGCGGCGTATGTGATCCGCGGGAGAAATACTGCTTCATAGATTATCTTGGCAGCCAGGCGACCCATGCCCCAGTTAGCGGATGTCATCCGTCTTAACCTTACGTACAGTCCTTCAGATTTACTTTTCAGTGCTTTTACATGCTCCCAGAAGCTGCACCGTGGATCCAGGTGGACTCCTAGGTACTTGACCGTCCCACTGGCAACTATCCTTGGGGCTGCTGGTCTTGTGCCGAAACCCACATCATACCCTGGTTTTAGTCCGCCCTTAACGGACATCATCTGTGTCTTAGCTGGCGAAAAGCGCAGCTCATATTCTTCCGCCCAAGTAAGCATTTTCTCCAGGTATCCTTCGATCCTGGTGAAGGCAGTCTGTGGCCTAGCTGCTCCAACAAGCAGCGCTATGTCATCAGCGTAGAGTATCGTTGTGGCTGATGCATCCAACTTAATCTTATCCAAGCCCGTCATGGCGACTTTCCACAGAGTGGGCCCCAGCTGCGATCCCTGGGGGCAGCCACGTTCTATCGTTCGGGAGTACCGTTCCCCTTGCAGCATGAGGGATGCTGTACGACCACTGAGGTAGTGCCCAACCATCCTCAGCGTTCGGACTGACGCCCCGAGCTCGTCGAGCCTCTTCAGCATCGGGTGCCATCCGACGTTGTCGAAGGCCCCTGTGATATCCAAGAACACTCCGACAACGTGCCTGGACTTGCTGGCCTCTGTCCAGTCGTATGCGGCTTTTATTGCCGTGATCGTCGATCTCCCGGGCACAAAGCCATGCTGCGGGCTGTAACTGTCCAGATCGGTCTCTCTTACCAGGTCCTGGATGATCAGCGTCTCTAATGCCTTCGAGAGCGTCGGCAGCAGACTGACCGGCCTGTACGACTTGGGGTTCGCCATATCCGCCTTTCCTGGCTTTGGGATAACCACTAGGTTGGCATCCTTCCATCCCCGGGGGAAGGTGGCATCCTTCATGCAATCCCCAAACAGCTTTGTAATGTCATCAGCTAGGATTGGCCATGCCTTCCTTAGCATGCCTGCCGTGATGCCGTCTAACCCTGGCGCCTTCCCTGGCCTCATCCTCCAGATGGCCGCTTTGACTCGCTCTTGGTCTACCGGCTCCTCATACTCTAGGAGCGGGCCGTGCTTTGTGAAAGATTGCTTATTACCTTCGCGTGGGAAAAACGAGCTGAGGAGCAGTTCAGCTGTTTCCCCAAGCGTGCTCGTGTGGGCGCCGTTTTCTCCCATCATAGTCGAGGGCACAGTACGTGACTTAGGGCCTCGCTTAGCCCAGCTGAAGGCCTTTCCCCACGGGTTTATGTTAATGTCATTAGCAAAGTTGCGCCATGCTGCGGCCTTAGCCGTTCTTACTTGATACAGGTACTGGTTGCGTGCTTGGTTGTACGCCTGCCTTTCACTTCTATGTTTGCCCTGCCTTCGCATTTTGCACAAGTCTTTCTTTAGGGAAGTTAACTGCTCATTCCACCATGGCTGTCTGCCAGCCCGGACGCCTGGTTTTCTAATCCTCGGAATTGACGCTACCGCCGCCCTGCGGATTACATCTATAATAGTATGGGCCTGAGTATCTATCGTTGACCTGTCCACAGTAGGCTTTAGCCTGCTCAGGTTGTTTGCAAAACCGCGCCAATCTGCCTTACGTGTGTTAAAGCGGCACGGGATCATGATTTGCGGTACTCTCTGATTGAGACTGAGGCTGTATGAGATAACCCTGTGGTCGCTGTCTGTGGTATCACTGACCATCCAGTTGCTGACCATGTCGCGGACTTGGGGTGTGAGCAACGTCACATCAATATTCGAGGCGCCCATGCCTTCGCGCTCGTATGTACTCAATTGACCGGGCCTATTCGCCACCGTAAGGTCGAAGTCTTCTATCAGCTCCTCTGTTTGGAGTCCTCTGTTATTTCCAGTCGGGCAGTGCCACAACAGAGAGTGCCCGTTAACATCTGCCCCAATGAGGGTGCGGGCTTCACGCATTAGAATTGTACGCAACTTTTCGATAAAGTGGTGTGTCGGCACATTGTACTTAAAGTATGCCGACACCACCGTGATTGCATCGGCTTCCAATCCACGGCTTATCCTTACAACCGCAACGTGCTGGCTCGACATATCCGCCAGTTCAATGGCCTGGATATCATTGTTCAGGAGGACAACTGCTGCTCCAGCCTGGTCACCAACAAGCACTTGCTTGCAATTTTCGAAGCCATATATTTTACTATCGTTCGTCAGTGGCTCCTGAATGAGCAGAACATCGACGGCGTTTGCTGCACAGAGGTCCCTAAGCTGCAGGCTCGCTATCCTCTGTTTATTCACGTTGTGCTGTACTATTCTGATGGCTCCGGTCATTTCGGGCCGAAGTCAGTGCGCCTAAGCAGGCTTCGCAATGCCTGTTCACGGGTCTTACATGTTGCACTCGACGCAATGTGCTGGCCTTTGCAGTTTGCACATTTTTTACTGGCTTTGTCGCTGCACTCACGACTGTCATGCGGCCCTGCGCAGTGCTTACAGGTGGGCGCCTCTTGGTTACACTTGGCCGACGTGTGCCCGTATTTTTGGCACTTGTAGCACTGCGTGACGCTCTGATGCAGCCTGACTCTGCATCTTGTCATTCCCAGGAAGACCGACTTGTTTTCCAGCTTTTTAAGAACGCTGGGTGGTGTCTCCAACACCCAGTGGGAGGTACCCTTATCCCTAGGGCCCAACTTATGGCTTACAACTATGCTCTCAGCGTCGTCCTGGTTGAGCTCGAGCTCTGGATTCTGTTCCATGATGCCATGAGCAATTTGGTCGCCGGCTATATCGTCGTCTACGTCGTAGACGATGATTTTGGGCTGCCTCGGCCCGACCGCCCTGACGTTAGGCACCCTGTTTAACACCTCGAACGTTAATTTGTCGTCCGGCAGTACGACGAGTGTATTGCCCTGTACAATAGTTTTTGCCCTTGGGTTCGGCAACTTCTTTTGGATCGTTTGCCACAGGTCAGTCTTAACCTGGGCCACCGTCCTGTTCGAGGGCACCTCAATAACGAAGCGTGACTTCACCTCTGTGTTCCTGCATTTTTCCAAGACCTTTTTCTTGGTGGCTCTGGTAGTAGGCCTTTTTACAGCGGGTTTAACCACTGCTGGCTTTGCTGGCTTTGGAGCGGCTACCTCATCCGCTCTTGTGCCTGCCATAGTGGCATAGGTAACGGTACTTGGATTTTGGCTCTCGCCATTAGTTAACTCTTCGAGCCTTTCCTTGAGAATTAAATTCTCAAGGCGGAGATCCTCGATCTCCTTGCTCTTTTCACTTTGAGCCCTGGTAAAAGTGTCCAGTAGCCCTTTTAGCTCCGATGCACTGAACTGAGTAACACCCTTTAGTCTGCTGTTCTCCATGCAGAGGTCGCTATGGATATCTCTGATGGCTTTTAGTCGGCTAGTGATAATTTCAGCACTGCCTACCGTTAGCTTCTTACTCCTTTCGACGGCAATCGTCTGTTCAATGCACCCTAGGTGGGTATTGAGTTCTTTCAACAGCGTTACGCTATCTACATGGCCCGCGTGCTTTTTCTTACTGCCCTGGTCAACGGCCATGGCACCACTTGCATTGGCATTTGTGCCATCATCAGCATTGGGGCCAGAATCGGGGTCTCCCCCTCCTCTTAGCCTTAATACATCCGTTGTCATTTTTCTCCGACATTTCCGTTCCTTATTCGTTTGCGCATGTCCAGAGCTACTGATAACGACCGGTGTGGCGAGCTCACCCACACCTGCCGGGCCTGAGGTTTCCTGGGCCTCTGTGCCGGTAACATCAGTTCGTTTATTTTGTGTGTAATTCATAATGTTATTTTGAGGGGGCTGCCCTCAAGTAGCCCTACACCCTCTGGCCGCCGGCGGGCTAGATCGGCGGTTGCATTGTCCATGCCAGGGGTTAGAAGTCCGGAGTCGGCCTACTCCGGACAGTTTGAAAGCCTCTTAGCGCCGAGCAGGCTCGGCGGGCGGGGTCGCCACGACAAGGCGGGCTTTCATCGACCCCGACCGTAGACGTACAATATTCTCTTGAAACATCTCTCGAGATCATTGCTTAACCATTCTTATGTAAACTTGATCATTTCTAAAGAGTGAAAACCACTAAATGACATACGTCATATTAAATAATATTATTAAATATAAAATTATATTATAGATCTTAACTAAAATAATAGTCAGGTATTTTCTTAGCTTTTATATTCACTTGAGGTGTTACAAAAAAATAAAAATAAAAAAATTCACAAACACGATAATAAAATATGTAGGTGCTAATAATTTACCACAGTAAATTTCACCTACTATAAATACTGTTAATATTATAGTATCGTAATTATAAATTAAAATATGAATACTAATAATTAATAATCTATAAACATTATTACAAATTTATAGCGATTTATCGTGCAAGCAAATTAGTTAGAAGTTTTTTGTTCGTTTCTGCCTTCTTCAACTTTAGTGGTCTGTTCTTGGACGCCTTCTATGCTGTGTTTCAGTCCATAGAACCCATATATCAACAATCCTGAAACACAAATGTAAGACATACAATTTAGCTCTGTCGTTGTACCTACATAATATGATTACAATTTACAAATTACTATATATTATTATTTATTTATTACAATTATTATTAGGTCCATAATATTTATTTTCTCTGAAGAATTTATACAAACCTACTACTAGCCACACGCTGAATCTTATCCAAGTCTTGAAATTTAAAACCATCATCAGATACAAGTTGAGAACTATACTCAAACATGGTACAAATGGAACAAAAGGCACCTATAAAAAATAAAAAAAACTTTGAATTATTTTTTGTCAATATAAGACAAGTATCTAGACAGATACACACCGAGTGATCCATTTAAAGCAAGCCACTCGTTATTTAAAAAAAACTATTAATGTTTAAGTCGCTATAAAAAACAAAATTTTTCTAAAATAACTAAATTGTTGACTAGTATCTAATAATATAAGTACAATAGTAATAATATTTAGAATTTTACTTTTTTATTCCTTATTCCAAAGCAGAGAATGTTTTTGGAGTACTTACTTTGATACAAAAATATCAAATTTTGGACTGGTTGTTTACAAATTATAAATATTTAACGCTTAGATGAGCGGAATGGAGTGGTTCATAGGTAGATACCGAACTAAATGTTGGTGCACTACTCCGCTCACTTAAACTTTAAATAGGTACTTACAAGTTATAAGTTATAACTATAATAAACTTTTGTCCAAAACTTGATTTTATACATCGAAGTACCCCGTATAATATTCCGCTTAAGAAAATGAAATGTATGTTGTAATTTAAAAGAAAGAAACACTTAACAATTTATTATAACAATAAAAAATATAAAATATAGTTTTCCCAAAAATGTAACGACTTTAAATTATGTAAATGAAATATTTTCAAAAAACGTTTATGATTTGTGAAATATCGAGTACGATAAATAGATCACCCCGTATATGGTATGTAGAAACATTATAATATATTAAGGGTTAATATAATATTATAGGGAATTTTGTTACGTAACTATATCGTATAGATACGACATTGTTCTAGTTATTTCAATTTAGCTCAATAATAACACGGTCGAACCATATTATAATTGAAAATCATCGGCAAAAAATAACTCTCACCTTAAACGGTAACGTTTCGATTGCTTGTGGAATTCGGTTCAACATTAACATACCAACCAATAGGATGATGATTGACAAACAAATTATGAAGCCTAGTATTAACTGGGCGGTGCCTTGATGAGAGTCCCAGTTTACTACGCAAATGCAAAATATGCCTGCAGTGAACGCTATAACATATTTCAACCGATTACGATTTATATACTAGTTGATATAAAATATGATTAGTAGGTATACCATATTACCATGTAAGAAGTGCATAAATCTACAATTACAAAAATCGTTAACATTATAATAATAATGTATCAACAATTTTTTTTTTTTAAATAGCAAAGTGAAATTTTAAAACGTTTTACCATACGCAATAATATTTTATTTAAATTTTGTTCTTTTCATTATTTGATCAAAACGTACTGAAAATGGTAATCAATACTCTCGACACGTATTGGGTTTCCCTGTTTGTAACATTTGCGTTCGATACATTTAACCACATGGCAATCGTGTACTCTTCAAGACCGTCTGAATCCCGGATGTACAAATTAGTATTTCTATACCTGAAAATAACAAGTTTCATATAACAATAAATTAAAATATTAAAATCAAACCGAAAAGCCTTACACTAATAATAGTTACATAATTATATGTATTAAGGGGCCTGGTCGCGACCTGTTTTTTTGCTCAAAAACATGCCTTACAGGAAAAACTCTCACGCCTTGTAGATTGGTCAGATTTTCGTAATTTTTTTTTTGTTAAATAGAGGAAGACGTATTGCAGGGCGCATTGGACTTGGATTTTCAAAATTATTTTTCGAAATCTTATATTACAAGTTTGAATTTAATCCATTTTTACAACTTTTTAGTTTTGGTATTATTATTTATTTTTAGCAACGTAATCAAAAATCAAAGTTCAATGCGCCCTGTAAAAAATATTCTTCTATCTAACAAAAAAAAATTACGGAAATCGGACGAATCAACGAGGTGTGAAAGTTTTTCCTGTAAACTGTGTTTTGACCGATATAATACACCCTATCAACCCCCCTAAATAGGTATTGGGTAGTAGATTAGTGGAAAAGTCTTATAATTGAGGTGGCAACTAAAATATAAAATTTAATTTTCAAATTTTATAGAATTGCGGAAAATTTGAAAAATCGCGACCAGGCCCCTTAAGGAAAAAAACACATTTAGGTGATACACAATTTCTATTACGAAAACTGCAGTAATACTATGGTATGATAATTATTAATAATAATAAACACCTGAGGATCAGCACGCAGACGCTAACGATCATGTAGGATTGGAGCGTGCCGATGGACGCCATGTCAACGAGCTGCTCGAGATTGAATATGGTCGACAACAGACCTGTAGGGAAACGATTGCGATATTGTATAAAGTAATATAAATATATTATAATATCCAAGTCCAACTCGTAGGAGACATAGGAGGTTTCTTAGGTTCTCTGGTTCTTTGCTACAAATTCCTCACCCACAACATGATTATAAACCTATGCTGCAAGACCCAACTTATTCCTTGGCTGATACAGACATTTGTTAAATCTCCAGTTCTTAAAAATATCCTGCCTAAAAAACAGACTCACCTGCCCTCCTATATTTGAATAGTTATAAGGTACTTCAACGATCTGTTCGACATTTTGCCCTTTTTTCCATTCCACTATCCTCCAAAAATTATTTGTTAAATGAACATAATATTTGGCGTATAATGTCCTTTGCCAATATGGACCCCTCCTTCTCTTTTAAAATTATTAAATAATATTGTTGTATATAAATCTTAGTAAATTGCAAATTTAATATTGTTATTGTTATGGTATACTTCAAGCTACAAGAGAAGGAACCCGTTTCGTGCATGCAAACTGTAGGCATTCCCCACTTTGTGCCATTTAGTGTATGTCAAATACGTGGCGATGCGTCGAACCGAACGTGTTTCAGTCGGGACACGAGTTCCTTCTCTCGTGGCACGGAGTATATAAATATTCCATGCACTATTTTTAAGGGCCTCAGCCCGTAAAATCTTAATAAATAAATAAATAAATAATCGTATATAATAATGAATCGATTTTGCATTGGAAGCTCAACGCATACCTGCACAGACACCACAAATGATCGAAGCTATGAAAGGCGTTTTGGTTTTCTCATTTATCGTCGCCAAGAAACTGAACAGCAGCCCGTCGCTGGACATGGCGTAGAGAATTCGAGGTATCGGGAACAGACATCCAATCAATCTTCAAAACAAATGACATAAAGACGATTACGACCCATTACATTTGTTATATTATTATATTATCATACGACACATGTTTTCCGTCGTTTAAATTGAAAAAATACAAACTATATAACCACTCACGTGGTAAAAAGCGCGAATACCGCACCGCAGGTGACCAAGTATTTGAGAACAGGCATTCCCAGGTTTTCATAAATAACCGGTAAAGGTGCGTTCGGATCCTAAAAAACAATGGTCACCACTATTATAACGTCACTGGCCACGGCAGATCGTCGGAGTTCGGCGGTCTCTAAATTAAATATTCCAAGGTTACCATACGTCTCGTTTAAAACGGGATTGTCCCCTTTTTTCGAGCATCATTATGTCCCCTTGTCCCGACAAACTTCAAACGAGACGATTTTTGTCGCGTTTTTAGAGTAGGTAGTCGCGTTTTAATCTCCATATTATAATTATACTTGCTGTAGACGCGTAGTCCGCACGTTTCTACAGCAGATAAATACTCACCTTACGTTTGATAAAACGGACAAACCGATAAACAAGATTCACCAATAAATAATTAAAATACCGGAAGTATAATATCTTTAGTACTGTGGACTCTATTATTCATTATATAATGAAGAAATGCATAATAAACAAATAACCTTAACAGGTCGACCCACTCTAGTAGAATATAATATAGTTCTTAAATACTAATACAATTTAACCAGCATATAGACTTCCAATAAGTCTTAGAACTGTTGATCGCCGCCTCTCAAGTTCCTCAAAAATGGGAAACCACGGGTGGGTAAATTAGCGTTGACATTCAGATCTGGAATTGAGAGTTTCTTGAGTTGCTTCTTCTTTGAATAAGCCCTTTAATAAATTGTTTTGCCACCCTCAAATAGTTGGTACTACAATCTGAATGATTTTCAAGTAATAAGCCATAACGAGCTGTAAATCTATCAAACGCATTGAGAAAAGCCTCTGTAGAAATGTCCAGCACAATTTCCAAGTGTATCGTATTTACCGATAAGCATAAAAACAATTCCAAGTAAGACTTATACGTTTGGGAGTTTTTGCAATGACTCTTCTTTACAATGAATTGTCCGTAATCCTTACCGACATAAGAAAACGGACGATGTGGTAGCACTCACCATGCTGGCAAATTGGCATTTGCGGTGGTGGAAAGGTAGCTCTGTACCATATACATGGTATACAGGTATGATTGACTTGTCGGATAGCTGTGAGTTCCGACATAATCCAAAACCGTCTGGATATCATGGTCATGGTAAGTTTAAGACCAACTTGCAACAAGTTCAAATGGTTGTGTAAAATAACCAATCCGTGTGATGTCTTTGGAAGTAGTACTGGGTGTATGGAATTTTCACTATTAAAAATAAAAACTCAAACACCTGCCCACTCCAATTACTCCATTTACATCCAAACAAGAGGACAAGTAAGCCAAATTGGTAGAAGTTATAATGATCTTGTTCTAATGACACTGCCGATGACGTTACCGAACCCTTTAACGCTCCGACTATACCACCCATCTGAGTTGAGTATTGAGAGCTGATGGTAATTCAGGACTGTGGATGATATCTGACATTGTACTTAACACCAGTGGATACAGATCGCCTCCTATGAGCATATCAATATGTTATGGTGTATCCAAATCAAGGTCTGCTAATTGTAAGTGACTATATCGTCAAGCACAATATCGAGTAATTTTTCATGAGGCACAGTAATTTTGTTAAGTATAGTGACATTAGTAACCATAAAAGTAGATTCATCGGTTGTCAAAGGGATAAAATCACACGAAGTCGAACCCTTAACTGTATCAACCCGCTGCTGAGCAACACTGACTACTTCGGTTCGGGTATTGAACCATGGTAAACACAATCTCATCGTACATTACGTTGTCCGTTGTAAATGCTATAACTTGTGAACCACTGCCCAATAGGACTATGACAAACATGTATTTTCTTGAACTGTCCCTTACACGTACTAAAGCTTTGACTAAAACAACTCTTACAACTGAAAATCTTGGTAATGACGAACGCCCTTCATTTTTATCTACCACGACACCTAATTCTTAGTCTGATTATACCGAATCAGTATTATCCATCTTTGTAACATGTTTAACATCAATATGCAGGCATATGTAGCGCCTCTGAAAGAATAATGACACAATTCAAAAAAAACGTTTTTCGAGTTATTACCATTACAATTTTTCAGAATTTCATCCTTTATATTTAAGTATGCTTGACATTTTTGATATGTATAATATTAAAGATAGTATGAGCTGAAATGTCATTATTTCTGCATAAAATAAAATAAAGCTTTCAGTTGAAATATCGACACTTCTTAGATGTGACTTTATTCTGGCCTGACTAATGTTGTTACACAATGTTTTTCTAGCCAGAATCAAGTCAAATTACAAAAATAACAGTTTCACATGGGAAAAATTATTTTAATTTTATTAATATAATATTATTGCACCTATTATAAGATTAGCTAGTAGTTTTATCAATGTTATAATCGTAAATTATTTATAGAATTGTATGATTAAATTAGTGTTAGTAACCGACTTCTATCGTGGTAGGTATCATTATTATTTAGTAGAAAAATCTATGGATATTGGATAATAATAATAATTGTTATTAAATTTGATTTTTGTTATCGACTCTAATATCGTCTTGCAGTACAAAATCTGATTTCGTTTGTATTAAATACTTTAAGGTGGTTCCAGTTGGTAATTTTCTTTGTCTAACACACGCCCAACATGAGATGATAGACTCAATGTTTGAATTTGGAAAAAATTAGAAAAGGGATGCATAAGTGTTAAAAATATTGAAATATCTTATTGATTTGGATATAATTAGAAGGGGTCACGCATAAATATTTTCTACAATGAAAGGGGACTCTGACCCTCCTCGTCAACCCTCAATTCAAGCATTGGATAGATGTGTTCTATTGACAGCTAGTGAAGCGATAACAATTCTAAAAGAAAATTTGAATTCAGTATAAAGTCTACAATGAAATCTACGGACCATTTTAAAAAATATCAGTCCCTCACTTAAAGAAAAATTAATTAAAAAAATTCAACTTTTTTGAAAATATAAATAATCATTAAAAATAAATAAAAATGAATTCTAAAAAGTTGCTAAGGAACCTAACCTAACCTAACCTAAGATGGATACCACAAATATCAGTGTACTAATGCGGTTTTAAGTGAGTAACATAGCAAATTTTACACTCAGTAGATCACTTTTAGCTCCGTTAGTTTAAACATAAGAGTGCAATTTATATTTCTTATAAAATTTAAAGATAAGATTATTATAGAGGGCATCTCATAGGCTTCTTATTATATTTTATAAGAGGTCAATTCACTCTAATTTTTTAAACTAGTGGAGCTAAACATAATCTACTAAAAGTAAACTTTGCTGTATTACCCACTTGTAAGACGGAGACAACAAATGTCCGTGTAGAGTCCTCTTAATAATATAATTAATTTTATTATAATTTTTGTAATACTGTTTTAAATTTTTTGTACGTAAAATGGATCTTCTGCAAAGTTTAAGATCAAAGCGCCTTGTTGTTAAATAGTATATTATAATATTATATTATGTTGAATTAATAAATATTATCGCAAAAGTACTAGGTAGGTACCTAATATTTTTTTTAAGGTAAAGTAGGCACCTAAAATGTATCAAGTAGTTAAAACAAATATTTACATACCTATTATTTGTTATATACGAGTTATTGATCTTAAATTTTATAAGACAAGTTATACATTTGAATGTTATAACTTATAAATAATATTATTATTACAACTTTTATTAAATTTTATATTTTTTTTTTTATAAATGAAAAAATATCTACTGAAATCAGATTTACAATACAACAAAAGTGAAATGGAACTTAAATTATTATTTTAAGTATATAAAAGTGAGCTACTTATACAATATTAAAAATAATATAAGATTGAAAAAAGAAAAATTAATTAAAAATCCTATTTATAATGACATAATTAAACATTACAAGTCGATTTCCCAACATTTTGATTTGTATCACTACACTATTCTTTTAGGGGTGTGAATTGTGATTTCATTTATTTCAAGACTTACACAAATACGTTGACTGATATTCAGTCAATATATAATTGGCTCTTAGATAAATGAAGCACAATTTTTCTTTAACAACGAACTCCTGCCGTTCCGTAACCGATTTTTTAATTAAATATAAAACATCTACATTATATAGAGTTATCGTATTCGCAGAATGATCATTTTACCGTCATAGTAGTGGTAGTGGCCACCAAAGAGATCTTAACGGACAATTAATCGCCCTTGATCCCTATAGGACCACTGCTACTAATCAATTGTTTGGTTTCATGAGTTCATGAGACATCATGTATTGAGCCCAGTGCAATATCCACAAATTATATCAAGCGAACGTTATCTCCAAAATATAAAACCACTGAAATTGTTGTAGTTGTATTAATTTAAAGCTGAGTAAAAATTGTGTGTGTCCCATTTTGTTGTATATCATAAATACGGTTACTGTATTATGTTAAACCCATAAATATTATATTATATAAGTACTTGATCGTAATATGGCCACATCAGCGTCAATACCGACGCTACGCTCGAGTACGCGACGGTGACGTTGAACAGCGTCAAGACGATTGCCAACGGGATGGTCCTCTTGGGGTTTTTCGTTTCTTCGCCTATACAACATTATCGACAGTGGTAACTGATTACTATTATTATGATAAACGTATTATAAAATATAACGATGGTTCAAAATATGAGAGTGTATATTATAATAATAATGATGTTAAGTTTCAAAATACCATGAAACGTAATTTCTTGAGTCAATTCCTTGTGGTTAAAAATAAAAAAAAATTCTAATAATTCAAAACGATATCAAATAACAGTTATTGTATGATAGGTACTATCATTGATTATGAATAGGTACTATAGATGGGCCACTCCGGTAAAAAATATGCTACGATGAATCTATTAGTGATCATGGTTTTAATATTCAGAAATTACTATGTGACGTATCTTATAACCTGGCCGTTTAGTCAGTTCTGGATATTAACACCAGGATCCCTAGAAGATTTACCATAGGTAGCCATAGCGTACTTTGTACCGCAGGGGCGATCTATAGTATTGTCCTGTGGTATTGATAATAAATGATGATACTTAATCTATTTAAAATTACAGTAAGTACGAAATATAAAAATATAAATACTTTTATCAAAGATATATTTTTTTTTTTAAGTGTTAATTAACAGAGTGGCTTGGCTTGGCGCGTTGGCTGCTAACAGTCTCACAATACGACTAAGAGTAAGTTACGCCCGCTGTTACTAGTCCACGGATGGGTGACCACCCGGGCTCGTAGTAGTAAACACCTTGCCTATACACGTGTGTGCTTACCTACCATCACAACAGTAATAACACCTTACCGTACCAAACTTACTGACCACAGTTCCACAGTTTTACATTCATTAAAAAAACAAAAAAATAATAGATAGAACTATGTTTATATTATATTTATTTACTCGTGTAAGTATGAAATAAAATCACTGTGTTTTTGTGCTTGTATGACAATATTAGCTTATGAAAAGTAATAAATAATCACTGGTGCATACAAAACCTTCATACAATCATAGTTATAATTGTTTCAAATTATTAAAAATGTTTAAATTGCATAAGATTTATAAGATTATTTTACATAGGTACTATAATTTGGATTAGATCCTTACACATAGTGTTATTATTAATGATTGATACATTAATATAAATAGTCACATTGGTATGAACATTTTCATATTTTACGTGAAAAATATGCTACCAAAAAATGATGCTTACCAGTTGATGCAATCGAATCGAAACCGATAAACCCATAGAAACACCTCGCGGCTCCTGCAATCATTCCGGTCCAGCCAAAAGGCAGGAACCCGCCATTGCCACCGTTTACTCCAGGCGGGATATCATTTTTGTCGATGAACCAATTTGATAAATTCGCTACAACCAAACAACTAGTTAACTTTTTTCTACACTATTATAAAATTAGGTGGGATAATGTGGTAAGAGTATAACATTAAACGTTGGTTATTGCGATTATATGCTTTGTGAATACATTATACTATAGAAAATTGATAGATATAGAATAGAACAGTTATTAGGGAAATTATAATTATTGGTATCAGTGTACTGTATTTCTTCTGGTTGTAATCGACAGTATTATTTTTAACAAAATCATTTTTCATTTTTGAGACTAAAATCGTTTATAAAACATTTTTTTCAAATACTAATTAGTTAGAAGTTTCAAGATAACATAAGGTTCCTTTAAATTAAGCCTGCTCTAAGATTAACTTATTTGTTTTAATGTATTTAATAATTTTTTTTGTTTTTGTACTATTATATATAACTTATCACCTTCATAATTTATTATGAGGCAAGAGTAAAATCTAATAGAGGAATAATCATAATCATATTGTAATATTATTATATTTTCAAAAAGTATTTTTAACTAAAAAGTCTTAACAGTAAAAAGTGATTATGATCTTAAATAATATATCAGCTAACATTAATGTTTTGTTTGCTTAATATAATAATATATTAACTGATGCTATACATTTGAAATATTTATACATTTTTTATTATTTATTTGACACCAAAATAAAAAATATAGTTAAACAAATAACAGATAAAATAAATTAAGTTATCTTTTCTTTTTAGAAGTCAAGCTTGGGCTAAAAAGTGAGATCGTTATAACATAGAATTTTTTTTTAAAAATTACGTAAATATAAAATAAAATAAGCTATTAGGAACCGGAATAAAAATAGGTATAAATCACATTATAATGTAATAAAACAATTAGTAATTAAAACAATTGTTTTACTAGATTATTATATAAAGCTAAGGTAATGCATCTTAAACTTTGAAATATTTTATTCAAAATATTTACAATGTTTTATACCAACATCAATAGAAACTATCATCAATATTATTAATACTATAAAAGCGTATTCGTTATCTGAACACTACAATTATTATTAAGTAAGTTTTAACTTTTAAGTATATGAAATACACACGAACCCGGAAAGAAACATTATTTCTAATATCTGAGCAAATATAGTATACGGCATTAATATTTAGATAATTTAATTCAATGATAATAGGTAAAAACGTATGTAAAAAAAATACAATTATAATGAAAGTGTAACGTTAGTCAATTGGTTACTACACATTCTAACATATAATATATAATAGTGCTAAGTGGTCGTATTTATAAAAATTGTTTATCACTGATATTATTATGGTGTAGTATAGTATATAAGTGACAGATAAAAACAAAGTGGTTGGGAAATGGGAATGCGAAAGAATTTTGATTTGAAATTAACAAGATATTCAGTTTTATCTAGTGTAGTTCCGAGTAAAAAATAAATAGATAGGTATAATATTTATTATACTTTGCCGACGACCCGGGAAAATCCCATCCACAGCAGAGTTGTGATGAAAGATGTTTCACAATTTATTATTATAGGCATGTACAATGATTATTGCAGCACGCCAGCACACATATTAAGGCATTAGTGTATTATTGTTAGTATTATGACTATTATAGAAGATGGTTGCAAAAAAATTATTATGAGTAATACATTTTGCCATTTTGGTTCATAAGTAAAATATATTTAAACGTGTTGCAGAACAAAATATATGTAAGATGACATACGTATGTTGTATAAAAAAATATAAATTAAAATGTCTTATTAATTAATTAATATTCTTTAGAAGGACGTGATACCCGCATGTGTTGTCTCCGTCTTACAAGTGCGTAACATAGCAAATGTTACGCTCAGCAGGACACGTGTAGCCTATATGTAAAAATTAAACCGAATTGACCTCTTATAAAATCTGAAGGTAAGATTATTATCTAGGCAACCTCGTGGGTATTTTAGATAATAATCTTACCTTTAGATTTTATAGAGGTCAATTCGGTCTAATTTTTAAACTATCGGAGCTACACGTGTTCTGCTGAGCTTAAAATTTGCTATGTTAGGTACGCACTTGTAAGACTGAGACAACACAGCGGGTATCACGTCCTCTTAAACCTGCGTCTAAATAATGGACTCTTAATGGTCCCTTAGAGTAGGCCCTCGGCCCGTGTAGCAATTTTATGTGGCCGGCGATTACAATTTAATTGGTATAAAAATATGGAATATCACATTATGTTAGTTGATAATGTTAATAATAAATTAATAAACCAAACAGCAATGAAACTTAAATTAAATACTTTGTTTAAAATTTAAACTGTAAAATGTAAATAAAATAAGGTCAATGAAATTTTTTTTTTAATTTTGTGGCCTTAACCATCAAAAAGGTTGACGACTCCTGCCTTAGAGAATAATTATACTCATTGATATTTGTTTATTAGTACATGTTCAACTATTATTATTATTTTTTATATCTTTCAAACTTTTTTTAGCATTTTTCGGTAATTTTGTTAGTTTTAAGTATGCATATTTGTATGGGTATTATACGACTTCAGTAGCGATTTTGTTTCGTTTTCTAGGTACCCCCCCCCCTCCTTAGACATATAAAGAGGGAAAACTCTGAATCTCTAATCAAATTTTTATCAATTTTTGGTTTTTTTTTATTCATTCATTGAAACGACCTCTAGGTCTTTGTCAATTCTTATCAGAAGTAGGTAGAAGAAAGATCATAATATGATCTATTTATCTATGAATATATCACTATATGCATGATACTACCCCCCTTCTGCTGCAAGAGGAGGCATGTGCGGTCTTCACTCCCAGTGGAGTGGGACCTAGTTGGACACCAGATAACGCAATCGGACGACAGCAGGGGGAAATGGTGATCGCGTATAACCACGCAAATTTATTTTACACTATGCTATGAATCGAACCGATGACTGTGTGAGTCGTAGTCAACTGCGTGTCCACTGCGCCGCTCCGGCTCCAAAATCATTTTTAATCAACTTTTAAACTTACTGTACATTTTAAGTTATGTAGGTCTATCTAATAAAACATTACAATAAAAAAATAATTTTATACATAAATTAAGATTTTATTGCGGTAAAGTACATTTTTTTATGGACTTTTTAGCCATTTTTTAGAGCATTTTCGGCGATTTGTAGAGCATTTAAATCGGGGACCTATTTATAATACTTAAACATATTAAATACTTACCGAAATAAAATCCACTAACGATGACCGTACACACGGTCACTAAGTTCAATGTGGTAAAAAGGTTGTTCAGGGTAGACGATTTACGAACACCCCAGGCCACGACCACTGTAAATTAACAAACAATGTGATCAATAGAACAATAGAATAATTATTTTAAACTTGAGGTATAGTAAACAAATGAATAAAGTTTCCTTCCATCGTGTCACATTACGCACTTATGGCTCGTGACTCGTGAAAGTAGTGTAGAATATAATATTTAAAACTATTCGAAAAATATTCTACGATTTAGGTATAAATATTATTAATAAAGTAAAGTAAATGTAGTAAATGTATATTAATTTGAATATTTATCGACTTTGCATAATTATTGTTTTATTGAGAACTCCAAAGTGTACTTATTTATTAATACCTTTTACAGAGCAATATTTATTATTTTTATGCCTGCAGGTTCGCGTATCCATGTTTAAGAGATGAACGCATGACACGATGAAATGCTCAGTTTTATTGTATTTTACTTCAAAGTGTTAAAAATGTATATTTTTACAATAAGACATTCCTATAGTTTATACTCTATCGGGATGATAAAATGCACTTACAAGCAATAGACATAATAAACAAAAACGATGCGACATCCGGATATTCTCCCAAAAAATCCATGTGTATAGGAAAATTTTTTTTCATAAACCTTTTCTGAGGGTCTCCTAGTAAAGAATCTAAATAGTTACTCATCGCTTTGGCGACAGCAGCGGTACCTAAAAAAAAATTCAAAAACCATACTGATAAAATCCGGTCATACTATACGAAATAAATATAATATTATGTTTGTAATTACGAATAATTGTCATATGTATAGGTGCTATTTAAAAACATAATTCACAACACTAAGTGAACTAACCAATTGTGTGTTCAAGTAGTAAATTCCAGCCGATGACAAACGCAATAAATTCGCCAACTGCCACATAACTGTAAACGTATGCGGATCCAGCTTTGGGCACTCGGCTAGCAAATTCTGCGTAACAAACTCCTAGAAATCAAAATGAGATTAATTGAAACTAGTTCAATCCCGGTGGATTACACGGTGAGTGCACGTATTAAAATATAATATCTAAGACTTGGCGAAATACATACAGTTTTGTTAAAAATCGGACTCTAAGTCCAAAGAGTTTTATAATATTGTATCAATTTTAGTAAAATGTATCATGTGATATATTCATCGTATTCATAAATATAAATTTAGATATAGTTAAAAAATGTATACAATAAGGGTCGTCGATTCCTGGGTGAAATACGATATAAATAAAATGCAGTAATATTGTAATGACAAGTTGATGTATTTAGGAGGGTGAATGGAACACTAATAGTTTCGGTATTCAAACATCGTACATCGTCGATCGAGAAAAAATACACTTAGTATTTCTTAATCTCCTAAACTAGATAACTTTGTGATAACCTATAACTTTATGACAAAAACTATGATAATTTAATTTTTTTGCTTTTTAACTTTTTTTTTATCGTTAAATTTAACAGTGACACATTTTTTTAAGAGTGGAAGGATAGGGGAGGCAAAAAAAACTTTACTTAAGCTGTCCAAACACTAAAAGTCAAGTATGCTAAAGTCACTGATTTTATAATATATTCGAGTAGGTACTTACCTGAAAACGAAGATACGGTCGCAGCCAAAATGAAAGACAATACAACGGCCGGGCCTGCAACCGACTTAGCTACTGTTCCTGCCAATACATAACACCACAATCCTAACGTGGAACCTGTGCCCAAGGCGGTCAAATCCACGACGTTTAACACTCGTTTAAATTTGTCTTTTTCGACTCCGACTTCTTCCACATACGTTTTTTTCCGACTCAGTTTTTGGTACAAACTTTTCTATCAAGGTGAAGAAAAGACATTAAAATTTAAATAAATTTTATGTTTCACAAAACAAAAATAACACAGTTTATCTTTTATAAAATAACTTTAAAAAAATTTAACAATATAGGTACAATTTTGAATTTTTATTTAATTCTTTGTGGTCTAATTAATTTCTAAGCCCTTTGATTTTTTTACTTATCATTATCATGCAAACTTTACGGATGCAAAACCTATGCTAAGATGTCACGTTTAAATCAAACAATTAACATTTACCATATTATATTATTTAATTTATCAATTAATTTATTTATTGGAGGCATTTTAATTATATTACCTAAATAATAATAATAACACATATGAAAGGTTTTTTAAATATAATATTGATTAAAGTTAGATTGGTAAGTTATAGAAAAATGCCTTGGAAATGGTTATATAACTTTACCTGATGCCTGGAGGTTAGATTTGTTTGAGTTACGTAACGTCTGTGCATATTGGAGGGGCTGGAGCGAGTGTGAACAATTAATAATGATTTATAATTTAATTTATACATTTTTGAATTGTTTCCCAAAATTAATAAACAATCTATGTAAACATTTTACAACAGTTTAAATATGTAATTTTTGTTATACCGTAGGTATATGAGCAAAAAATTAAATTGACTTTTACAATTGCCACTAATGTAGTAATGTTACAATTATATTTTTTCTTCTCACTTTATTTCTTTAATGTTTACTCTCATAAATGTTACTTCGTACTTTTTCGAGTGTCTTCTGAGGTAGGACCTCACAACACTAAACTCGTACACTTTAGCGTTTAAACACCCAGTCATCGGTTTATATTATTAATTATTATGATATAAGTATCAAAGTTCTATACAGAAAATCGTAATATACTTATCGTTCGAACTCTTGATTTCTATTTATTTTTATTTACAATATATTATATTAGAAAACAATATAATATGCATTAATAATTTAAACATACATTCACAAATACCTACCAAAAAGTATTATATTTAAATTGTTTATGTACATTTTATGTTTGACAACACAATTTTATTAAAATAATTTTGCAAACTTTGCTATTAAGCCTTACGACAGGACGTTCGTCCATCCCTTAATCGGACGAAGATAGAGTGTAGAAAACTTCAAATACTTACGGTCCACGAGCCAGTCATTTTCAATTATTTTCAAATGGACTGAATCTGCTCCAACGATTGATCTGAGGGTATACAATAATACTACTTGTCTCTATAAAATGTCTACTATTATACAGGCACGCAATGATCAGAACACGGTAAATGCCATAATATTTATTTGTGAATAGTGCAGGAAAACAATGCAAATCAGTGTGGTCTGCACATCGAAAACGCTTTCCTAAATTCGGTCCACACTCTACGTCACTATTAACGTTTCGCGATCCATCGTTCGACTGGCAATGAGACGGATATCGGCCGACGGCACTGCCACGGCACGTTCTAGATATGACCATGATTGGCCGTCGCCCATCGATCTCGCCAGCGACGAACGACGAAGACGGTATATAGGTAGTGGAAACGAAAATACTCAAACAAGTGCGTTCATAATATTATTTTTTTGATTTTAAGGTTGTATACCTAATCCTAAGCATGTTAGCTTTGGGGGTCCCCATAAAAATATATAACTTAAATATTAGGTGTTTGAAATAATATCGTAAGACAAAAGATTTATTTTAAACAAGTTTTATTTTATTACCCAACCGATGACCCGATCACAGTAAAAATCTAACTATTCCCAAAAGTTCACGTAATGTGAACGTAGCAAAAATAAATGTAAATTATTAGATTTTATTCGTGTATAATACCCACCTACAAATTAACTAATAGTTAAGACTCATTCCCAAAAAAACAAGTCCGTCACGGGACCGGTTCTCCGAAAGCCTCATATGCAGCCTATTATAATGGCTATAATATGGCACAGAGTACAGACGATATAAATAATATATAATAGGTACACCTAAAATAGCTGATGACATAACTACATTAGTACCAAAGATATACACAATATATAGAAAAAAAACTAATTTGTGCCAATAATATTATAACTACAAAGTAAAAAAAAGGTGGGTAAGTGGATGTCGCTCTGCTGTACAGTAGGTTACAAGTGGGTCACTGTATAATGGATGGTATTAAATTTGAATTCAATGATATAATATCATTGTATAAGAAAAACGATTCTGAGCGGAGACGGTATGTCCTTCTAGGTAAAAGACATATTATATACATATCTATGGTATTAAAAAAAATTGACCTATAATGAATTCCAATTTCCAAATTAATCATATCACAATATCCATTAGGTACTTATAACGCGTTATACACCAACAACAAACCCTGATACTATCATAGATATATATAGTAGATTACTTTAGAAATTTCAAGTACCCACGAATAATATTATACAATCACAACAAAATAACTAAAATCGTAATTCTTGGTTTAAATATGAAATTTTGTCTAAACTTGAAATTAAAATGTCTGTAAATAATAAGTGTGTTTATATATTTTTTAGATTTTTTGGTTACAGTATGAATTATTTAAGAGAATCTTTGTTTTAAATTTTCAACTCTTAGTTATAAAAACTGAACATTTTATAATTTTTTAATTCCAACGATTGATTATTTTCGAGATTTTGATAAATTATGTCAAAATTCCAACTTTAAATGCTTATAAAAAAAATCGTGCCTATGTATTTTTAAAATTTTTCAACTGATATTGTAACAATATATAAGAAAGCTTGTATTCAATTTTCAGACTTTTTGGCCGACCAAATAAAATTTTATTGACAATTATAAAAAAAAAAACTAAAAAAATTGAAAACTGAAAATGTCCGTAAACAGCTCAAAAAGAGTCAAAATATTTTCAAAATTGTATGGTGTATAGGAAATGCTAATATAAACATTCAGTGAAATTTTCATATATCTATAGTTATTCGTTTATGAATTACATCAAAATAAGGAAATCGCTACATGAGAAATCGAGTGAACATCCAATGTTGTAAAAATTTGAATTTCAAACGCTCATAAAAATTTAATTTGACTGTCCGGTAGAGATTTTTTTATTGATAAAGGTAGACAAACTTATGAGTAATCTTGTATTACATTTTCAAATCTTAGATTTAAAAAGAAAAATTTTTGCGAATTCTTAACTCAAAATAGTTTGCTAATTTTTGTGATTTTTCCATATTTTGTCAATTTTTGAACTTTAAATGCTTATAAAAAAAAACTGTGACTAACGATTTTTAATATTTTTCATCTGCCTTTGAAACAATATACTAGGAGTCTTCTATTCAATTTTCAAGTTTTTTTAACCAACAAATAAAATTTTATTGATATTTCTAGAAAAATAACTAAAAAAAAATGAAAAATGAAAATGTCCCTAAACAGTTCAAAATAAATCAAAATATTTTTAAAATGTTATCGTGTATAGAAAATGCAAATATAAACAACCAGTGAAAATGTCATGTATCTACGGTCATTTGTTTTAAAGTTACACCAAAAACCAAATTCGATTTTTTAGAAAATCGATTTTGCGTAAAAATTCCCGTTTTTCCTTAATTTTTATGTTGTTTTTCCCGGTGCTTGTGAAAACTACTGGAAAATGTTTACTTTTGACCCCCCAAAGTATCAACTAGATTCACTTTCCTATCAGAAAAGGTACTATTGAAGAAAATCGAAGCACTTTTACTGTCCCAAAACGTGATGACAGACACAAAAAAAAATATAAAAATATAAAAATATAAAAAAAACACATATCATTGTAAAACCAATACATTCATCGCTCCGCTCAGAATCTAAAATAAAAAGTCATAATATTATAATGGTCCAATACTCCAATATATTATTATCTATATGCATATCGAGTACGTCGTACGAGCTGTTGTTTCCTTATCAAAGCACAACAAGTTTCACGCTCAGAAATATCCATTTTACTCTTTCATTTTTAATAGTAGAGTGAACAAGTAGGATTTTATAGTGGCAATGATATTATTCTAGGTCCCACGGAATGCGTATGGTTTTTATTTTATTTTTGTTTAATTTTTTCGGACTTGCTTCAAAATTAAAATAGTAAAAAGTCTAAGTGGCGTGGATAAGACTTTTCCTACCTACCTTTAAATTAAATAATAGTTAGTAAGACCTAATATTTGTTCAAGTTCAATCCCTAAAGTTGAAGGGTACCTAACCAAAGCCTCAACATGAATTTTATTTTGGTTCACGCAAATCTATTTTGTCTTTTTCTTTATTTATAAGGTGAAATCAAACTCTGTTCGTTAGACGTTGGTTATCATTTGAAAACTGCTAAAAATCGGTCCGATTTAGCTCGTTTTTTATTTTTTTTTGTACTTTCTTGATTTTTAATCAAGTAAGTTTGGTAATTGAAATGAAAAAAGTCTGAATTTTGAAAACTTCAAGAAATTATGTTAAATAGGAAAATAATAAAAATGTAAATCACTAAATCAGTAATGATGAGTAGGTGGATAATTTAGTTAGCTTTAATATAAAATATTAATGAGAAAAATTTGATATCACACCCAAGCAGTATATAACTACTTGAATCCATAAAAACGTCGGAGTGAACAGTCTCAAAATTTCTAATTTTTAACTTTTATCCTAAACTATGATAGCTAGAAAGTTGGTTGATAACTCATTAAAAAGGGATTATCAATTAGATACTAAATGTGGAATTAAAATTTTTCACAGATAAAAAAAGAGTTATTTTACGCTAGATTTTCATTTAGCGAGGTAGATTTCCGAAACTGGAAAAAGGTTTTTGTTGTTTGGGGTCTTGTTGGATTCATATTGGCTAGGAGAAATGTAGTGAAGATTTTCAGAACTTTTTCTCCAATCGTTAATTTACTACAAATCTGTAAAGCTGAAAAACATCAAAAAACGCCCAATAAAATTTGTTTTAATTTTTTTAATGTTCTGTAGTCAATTAACTATTAAAGATAAAGTTCTGAAAATCTTCACCGAACTTCTCCTAATCAATGTGAATTCAACAAGATCGGTTTCGGAGATCTATCCCACTAAATGAAAATGAAAATGATTTTTTGTGGGGCTGTTCACACTGACATTTTTTCTGGATTCAAATTGTTAAACCACATGATTGCGATATCAGTTAATAAATTTCTAAAAATTAAAAATCAAGAAAGTTTACACGCCGATATCTGACTTGGCAAGCTTTTTTAATGTTCATAATTGTTCGAATAAGACTTTTACAAAAATAAACATTGGAAAAGTTGCTCGGAGAGGTCATTCCACAAAGATGTTTAGATTTACCATGAAAATCGAAAACATTTTTGTTTACAAATGGTAATGGTTGCCATTGATTATACTCTGAGTTCTGACAAATTAGGTAAACGTAACTACGCAAGCATAAAATCGTCGTATCAGTAAAGTTGAAAGAGTAGTATGAACCACTTTTGTTTTGTATCAAATTCTATATCCAATCTACCCCAGGAAAATTATCGAATTAATAATATGTTGAAAATATGTAATTGTCGAATTAATAATAATAATAATAAAAGAAGAAATAGGTATTAATATCATAGGTGCATTATAATATTTAAATTTATAAAATAAAAAACAAAATTAAATAAAAACGAGATATTTATTATGCTTCTATTGAACTATAAATTATAGTAGGTATCTAATTTGTTATGTATTTCTTAAAACATTTGCCATAAACATATTTAAAGAATTACAAAAAAAATCAATATTTTTTATTGAGTTACCTGTGGACATTAAAGTATTGGATGGAGAATTTCGCATATAATTTTTAGTTTAATGTTTTGTGTAGAATAAATTTAAGGATCGGTAGTTTATTGGATTAATTTAAAAATTTATATTTTGCAGTAATTCTGGACAATCAATCATATTATTTAATAATTTAAATAAAAACTTTAATTTAATTTGCACAAATTGTCGTTCTAGCGACTGTATATTAAAAAAACTGATTGTAACATTATAGCCAGAATTGGGTGCTCTATAAACAAAACATTGATAACATAAAAATCTGATAAAATTATTTTGAATTTTGTTTAAATCTTAGATTTGTGTTACTACTTACTAAATATGGATGCCAGATTAGGAGGGCATAATCAAAGTGTGAACGGATTAACGAGTAGTATAATATTTTTA